TTTCCAACCCAAGTCCCTATGGGCTGAGCTACTGCCGATCAACATCTGATTGACAAGTGAGAATAAAATACGGAGTAACTTTTGAGATTAAAAATCTATTTTTCAAGAGTGTCCTGGCCAAGACAGGCAGCAATATAAGTTACAGACGACATAGAACAAGAATACAGAATAAAAATATACAGCTCTAAAACAAGCAATATAAACACAAGTAAGATTACTACAAAGAAAATTCAAAAAGTATGTTAATATACACTAGAAGTGAACCATAAAAACACAAAAAGGGCAACTACACATGATTACAGAGACCAGCTAAGACACACTAACACTGGCATATAGAAGATTGTGAACAAAAATCCCGCAACAGTGCTTTGAAATGGCTGAGAGGAACCACAGAACAACTCTAAGTCCTTCTGCAATAGATTCCACATATAAGGAGCTGCATACATAAATGCTGGATGACAAAGATGTATAATAAATGAAATAGCAAGGACAAAATATACATTCTATTGTGACCATCGGAACGGACAGAAATGTCGTGTAGTGTGAGCCCGGCATAAAATGTCCTTGGTGTATGTATGAAAAAGAATGAAATACAAGCATATTATATCAAATGTATATGTAAAAATATACATTTATGTAAGCAACTGCATGACAAAAAATTTAAATAAATTAAAGCATTCAGAGATATATCCTTGGAATAGGCATGAAATGGAAATTAAAAAAAAAAAAACAACTCGTGGCACATGAGGCATTTGAAAATGAGAATCTGAGATAATATTTGCATTAGAGGCTGAAGAGTGAGACTCTGAACACTGTGGGAGTCATTTGTCTTCATTATTATGAGTATGTATCAGTAAAAAGAGCAGTCAGTGGCTGCGGCTGAGGGGAGAGTCTCTTACATAATCCGCCACAGAGTTTTGGTTTAAATACTCAAGTCTAGCGTTTGTTGAAGAGTGAGGTGCTTTCTTTGTGACTGAGCACGACATTTATTAATTTATTGCACTTAACTTATATTTTCAACACAAAACCCACCTCAGTCAGTTGTCATTGTATCACCACTACTCATGTGCTTCTACACATTCAGAAACACATCTGTTTTCATGGCATCAGCTGCACACGGACAGTATCGATCAAACTTCTCTCCACTGAGGTTATGGAGAAGTCGTGTCCTTAACCAGTCTTGGTAACAGTAGAATTACTGGTGTCCACTTAATGTTGAAAACCAGTCTTTAATTGGAGCTTGTCCGTTGTGCTTTCCATCAAATATACACTCCTCAATCTTTCCCTCCATTGTTGGACAGTTGGTGGTTTTACATTTCTCTGGAGTGTCTCCCAGTATAAAGAATGCTGGCTCTAGAGGCAGGTCTACCCCCATGATTTGCTTAATCTCCACCTTAATGTCATTCCAATTTTGGAGAGCAGGACATTTTAAAGGAATACTTCACCCACAATGACCATTTATAAACCAATATTCATGCTCTGTTACCTTGAATTTATCAAGAAAACTTTGTTTTTCTTGCATACCTCCATGGAAAATGCCCAGCATATTGATTTATTGAGGTCAAGGTGGACCAGTTTAACAACAAAGTGATATCAAAACACCCATTTATAAATTGTCTCTTTATTTCTTTTATACATTTTATGTTCAGTACTTCCCAAACAAATGCTTTTTCTAAATGTCACATATCTGTTTTGTGGCCTGGTGACCCCAGCAGATTCAGGTTTGTCTTCGAGGCCACTGAGCCAAAAACAGCCTTTCTTCACGTTATATAATCGCGTGGTTTCTCTGAGCTCCTTGAAAACATTACAAAATCAACTGGCATTGAAAAATCACACAGACCAAACTGTTCATTATTAACACAGAACACACACTTGTATTGATGTCACCTCCTGCTTTTACTCGGTGGAGGAGTGCATCCGCCAATTACTGTGGCACAAATGTGGCTTGAGCCACTCTGCTGCAGCGCTGTGTGAAGACAAACAACAGCTGCTGATACAACAAGTGTCCTTTAGTTGGCTTATCACACCAGTGTTGAGATGATAATTTTACAGTTGCACTAGTTTTCTGTGTCCTTGGTGATGCCAAAGACCAGCTATCTAACGCAGGTGATGTAAGCCTCGGTTGGCCAAACTGTCAGAGAAGTGGGTCAAATACTGTTGGTGTGTATTCATTTTGATGTGATTAATCTACTGACAAACATTAGATTGACTGCATGACACAAAATAAATGTCCACTTAACATAATTTTGGATTAAACCACAAATACAAGCACGGAGATGTGTATTCAGCACCTAAAAGGTACTTGTGTGAGCAAAGCACAGCTACTGATGGTGACACATAAGCTAAACTGTAGTAGTGAGTCTGATGAGTTCACAGTTTTCTTGCATCAACTGATATATTAGAGAGAATATTGATGAGGTTTTTGTTTTAGTTTTGGTCTTTATGTGCCCCTATCCATCCTGAAATCCACTGTAGAGGAGGATGTCTAACATCTATTAATCTATCGACCATTTGACTTACATCTCTAAGCAGAGATATAGAGACGTAGATAGATAGAGAGAGATATAGCAAGAGATAAAGATACAGATAGATATAGAGATATAGACAGATACAGACAGATATCGACAGACATAAAGGTACAAATTATGAGTTACTGATAGAAATAAACATATAGAGCTAGAGATATATAGAGAGATAGAAAATCAAGACTTTGAAAAATGGTACAAACACCCAATTGAAGTCTTACTGAGATTTGCAAGAGTGTACTCAGAGTCCACAGGAACACCCCTAACAATGGATGCTGCGCTGAACTCGGCCAATCCCCCTTCTCATTAGGTCACAAAAAAGAGCAATCAACTGCTACAAACACCTAAAAACAAGAGACCCCAACTCCTCTCCTCAAGGCTCCCCATTGCCAGGAGAAGTCCTCTCAGCTAGCTGGTCCTGAGGCTGACCTCCTCTAACAAGGCCTCAGGACAACCCTCACACAATCCAGCCCAACCAAATTATCGCAAAAGAAAAAGAAAACTACATCAACGATTGGACATCTACCACACAAACCCAAAACAAACTGCAATGCTATGTGGCCCTAAAGAGACAGTACGTGATGGCAAACTATCTGACCACTGTCACCGATCAGAAACTGAGAAAGATGCTGACTATGTACAGACTCAGTGATCACAGAGACGACAGACACAACCTGAGACATGTGGAGACAGAGCAACATTTCCTGCTATATATTCCTGCACATAAGAAAACATCAGGACAAATTTCTTAACAAGAATGAAGAAGAAGATTTTGATCTAGACGAAGATGCAACATCTGCTCGGAGTTTAGTCAAGCAAACCTCATTGACTGCAATATCAATAGGTATAGAGGTGTAGAGATAGAGATATAGACAAACAGACATGCAGACAGACAGATCAAATACATTCCGATGTCATATAAGATCAGTTTATTCAAGTTCACACATACAACACATACAGTATCACTAAATTAAAACAATAAATAAATATGTGGTTAAATAAAAGCACAGAAGGTTTTAAGACAGGACATTAAAGTGTCTTGTATTCCCAAACCAGAAGCACAAGTTAGTTCTGCTGCATAAATCATTCAAAGGGAGGACAGACTGAGTCACATAGAAGTCGGCATGTATGATAAAAAGTCATGACATGCACCTTCAGCATGTATTACAGTGACGTAGAGGTGAAACGGAGAAAAAAAAACAATCAATTAATAATCAGCTCCCATATGTGCAATTACATAAGAGCACCTTCCCACTCTTTTCAAAGTGAAAAGCCATGTTGGTGAGCAGTCGATGGTTGCCTGTCAGACACTGTGATGACTAGTCATGCTGACAGCATTTGGCTTTGGAACACTGGTTGATATTTTAATAAAAAATAATTCATGCCAATAATAAATATCAGAAATGTTTTATTATTTAAATGTAAAAACAAAAAGGATCCAGTATTTCCTCCCTTTTGTGAGTCTTTGAAATATCATTTTAATAATAATGGAACACTAAAATGCTTCAATAAAACCCAAATTAACTTGGGTAGCAAGAACAAAATAAACATGTATTTTCTTCACAGATTTTTTAAAGACTTTTTAAAGGTATATCTGCACAGAAATTTAACAGTCCTAGCAGGACTTCTATTCCAGTACTATACTGAATTTAAAATAACTCAGACAGCTCATGATAGATCTTGTGTCATATTGGTATTGAACAAATGCTGTTTAAAATAAGCAACCAGAGATTTTCTTTACAAAAATATTCAGCATCATGGACATGGGTGGATTATGAAACAGCGGGCCCCTGGGGCCAGGCATGTGGAAGGCCCCACTCCCTCTCCTTCATGGGAGGAGCAAGACACAGACTTTATAGTTTAGCCTCTTACTCTTCCTCTCTGATCTTTCCGTGGTTGTACTTCTCTCTGTATTTATTCTGTGTCTCTTTGCTGTCTTTTTGAGTCTCTTTATAGTTGCTTTGCATCTCTGTCATCATTGTGTGTCTCTTTGTGGCCATTTTGAGTCTCTTTGTAGTCATTTTGTGTCTCTGTCATCATTTTGAGTCTCTTTGTGGACATTTTGTCTCTTTGTGGTCATTTTGAGTCTCTCTGTAGTCATTTTGCATCTCTGTCATCGTTTTGTGTGTCTTTGTGGCCATTTTGAGTCTCTTTGTAGTCATTTTGTGTGTCTTTGTAGTCATTTTGAGTCCCTTTGTGGTCATTTTGAGTCTCTTTGTAGTCATTTTGTGTGTCTTTGTAGTCATTTTGAGTCTCTTTGTGGCCATTTTGAGTCTCTCTGTAGTCATTTTGAGTCTCTTTGTCATCATTTTGAATCTCTTCGTAGTCATTTTGTGTCCCTCTGTCATCATTGTGTGTCTCTTTGTGGCCATTTTGAGTCTCTTTGTAGTCATTTTGAGTCTCTCTGTAGTTATTTTGAGCCTCTGTGTAGTCATTTTGCATCTCTGTCATTGTTTTGTGTGTCTTTGTGGCCATTTTGAGTCTCTTTGTAGTCATTTTGAGTCCCTTTCTGATCATTTTGAGTCTCTTTGTGGTCTCTTTGAGTCTCTACCTGGTCGATATGTGTCTCTGAGGTTAAGGCCAGATCGGGCCCTGACAGTTTGGGCCCCTGGACCTGTATACCCGTTCAGTAATCCATCCATTGTCAGGAATAATAAATGACTTGGAAAAAGCAACACTTTGACAAGCAAGAGCAACAGTTATTTAATTACCCATTTACTCTGACTCACCATTTCAGAAAACTTTCTCAGGCTGTACACATATAAAACACCAGAGTGAATTTTATATTCCAAATGTTAAAACTTCCGATAAGTGCAAAAGAGTGTTTACGAAGCGTGGGTGACGTGGATCGTAGCTGGGCCCGTTGGAGAAGACAGCTTATCCCGCTAAATGCAGCCTCCTCACAGTGTGTCCCTGCCAGAATATCGTCTACACTTGTCTTGTTGCTCTGTTAGATGGAGAAGACAGTGCAGTGAGACTCACAGTACTTTACTTCTCTTAAACTAAAGGGAGGATGCACTGATACACTTAAGAGAGAGGAGTCACTTGGGAGGAGCACAAAACTAAAAGGGTCACTAGTTTGTAGTTGCCAAAGCAAATATTTTTACTGTTTCACATGCATCATTACATAAGAGCTCTCTGCAGTCAAGCTGAAACAAATGGAATGGATACCTCTGTCTTCTTTATGAATAATGAATAGGTAGTTTGGACTAAACAATTTATGTGATAAATGAGATTTGGAGGCAGTTTATCCCAAAAGCATGTTCTTTTCCACTCAGGTCTTTGACTAGATCAGTTGTCACAGACATATTTATTTTATGAAAGTTTTTGTTTCGAGTGACAAGCTTGAAAGAAGAATTTTCATGATTTTTTTTTTTGCCTTTTTTGCCTTTATTAGATAAGACAGATAGACACAAAATGGGGGAGAGAGAGAGAGAGAGAGAGAGAGGAGATGACATGCAGCAAAGGGCCGTGGATCTGACCCGAATCAAGGCCACTGCAAAGGACCCAGCGTTCATGGGATCACACCACCAGCAACCCGTGGAATAAGATTTTTTGTAATGTAATGTATTGAAACTAGTTAATTTTTCCCCTTAGAGTTATAGTGTTATTTTTTTATTATTATTAGTCTTTAAACCTGTACTAAGTGAAATGTTGTCCACTTTGGGACCAGCAGAAATGAGCTGTGAACACCATGTGGACATTTTAAAAGAGCAGTGTGCAAGATTTAGGGGGATTTAGTGGCATCTAGTGGTGAGGATTGCACATCGCAACCAGCTGAAACTTCCGGTTAGGATTCCCTCAGTGTTCATTGTTCAGGAGGTTTTTACCAGGAGCCATATTATCCACAGAGGTCTTTCAGCCTCATGTAAACATCAGTGCTGTTCGGCTTGTCATGGAGGGACAGCACACTATGGTGGCTGACACAAAGGCCCTATCTAGAACAAGTGTTTGGTTTGTCTGTTCTGGGCTACTGTGGAAACATGCAACATGCCGGACTCTGTGGATGAGACTCCAGGCCCGCAGGAAGTGCAACGTAGCCAATTTCTGTAGTGGCCAAACAGTGGTACTACAGTTTTCAGGGTCCATCACATGATGCCATTGGGTCCGACTTTTTCCACATAGACTTACATTGGGCCATGTCTATGAATCATTGGATACATTTTTCTGAGTGTCACAACTCCCACTAAATGACTCATTCCACCATCAGGATTTAATCCATTCAGTCCAATAACATTTTGAAAGTCTAAGTCTAAAGTCTTAGAGTCACAAGATTTAAGTACTTTATCTCCATTCAAGTTAGCAGAGCACAACACTCAGGCCAAGCCAGGCGCTCTGCTGGTGAAAGTTGGATGCCTAACCATGCTTGGCTGTTAGTCCCAAGTGCACTTGTTCTATGGGCCCAGTGATGTGGAAGCAGCGCTGATCATCAAGGTAATTGCATACTGCGGAAATGGAGCTTCTTTGGCTTTATGCACTGAGCAACTTTCATAGGAATGAACAGGGTCAATACCATATCCAGTTCTCTTAATACTTCCATATGAGACGTGCTCCGAATGTAGTTTCATACTCACAGACTTATTCTAAAAAAATGAAAACTTAATGATTATTTTCAGGTGATTATACAAAGAAAACTTACCTCTTATATTACCCTAAAACCGACACACTGGACCTTTAAACCTTAATTGTGAACGTGTTAGCAAACAGTTGCTTATTTACACATCCAGCAAACATGGAGCAACTTGTTTGAATATAAGTCCAATATTCAGTCACTTTTAGCTCTGTTTTTGGTCTCCACCAACTCCTGAGGGAAATATATCTCTCTCTTTAGCAGGTAATACTCCACCATTTTCACCATTACTCTACCATTTGGTGCTGAGCAGGAAGTGTACAGTGGATTTTAGGGGCTTTCATCTTTTAGCTGCCCGTTACATCTGAAAATGTATTTTTTTCAGAGCAGTGAGCAAACCAAAACCATAAATTTGTGAGTCGTAAAACAAAAAAAACAAAAAAAGCTCTGAGGGAACTGCAGAGTTGGGTTCATTACTACGAATAGCGCACACAATAATCATTTGACCCACTGAAAATATAAAAACATTCATCATACCAGCTTCAAGGTTGATGGAAAACAGAAACAAATAACGAAGATGAAAAGCTGCTATACTGGTTACTTTCAGTACTAAACATCACAGGTATCAGATCAACAGAAACGATCAAAGACAAAGGAAAGAGCTATGAACTGCTTACGTAATGCATGAAACACTGTTTCATAAAGAGCAGATGTGAAATGTTTGAGCACCGTATTTACAATGTCATACTAACAGCTAGGAACCTGTTCACGCCAAGCTGTTCTGGTAACAGATGGGCTGCGTAATGCTGTTCTTACCTAACATCACCTGCTCAATTTCCTCAGTCTCCTCCACGGCTACAGGTTTTAGCAGCAGGGCAAAAAACACAGCAATACCGATCACCTGTGGACAAAAACAAGCCACAAGGAAGCAGTTAACTTAAATGTCACATGTCATATTATTCTTTAACAAGTGTGACATGCTGGAAAAAAGTTTTTTTTTTTTTTAGACAAAATGACTTTATAAAATGAACATCTGATTCACTTTAAGCTTACTCACTTTGAGAGGCTGCAGAATAAAGATGCTCTGGAAGAGGGAGAGGCCCAGAGACATGACCCACTTGACTGACTTTTCCCTGCCATAATCCAAGCCGTACAACAGGGTGAAGAAAGTGGATACTCCACTGATGGACAGCAACAGGAACCAGCCCAGAAACACACACCACCAGGGCAGCCAGCAGCTCGCCGACTTCTTCTTCTTCTTTACAGGAGGCGGGCTGAGCCAAGGAGAGGAAAGGAATGAGCGAAACACACAAGATGTTCAAGTTAGATAAAACCAGTCATATTTCTAGTTTACATGAATATTTCAGTGTCTGTTTGTCGGCCTGGAGTGCTGACCAGTAGGCCAAGTGGCTGCTGAAGACCATCTCAGCCTTGCGGACCAGTATGTTGGTGACGTTGAGGGTCCGCTGATACTCGTCTGTACTTGGGAAATTCTTTACATCCAGTTTCTCGAGGCACATCAGGAGGTGACACAGACCAGCCAGGAGGAACTTGCTGCAGTACACCCAGTGGGGGTCACTCTCATTCTCCCCTTTGACAGGATTACACACAGACCAGCATGTCATTACAGTACATTTGCAATTCTCTGCACAGTATATGCACTCCAATATTCAATAATGCACCAAATCTGTGCCCCTTTAGATCCTCCGAACAAATGTCTTTTAACTAAGGGAGATCTTACCTTTGTGGAAGCTGCTCCAAAGCTTTGGAACAGCCTTCCCCTCTCAATCAAATGCTCACCCTCCACTGACACTTTTAAGACAAATCTTAAAATGTACATGTTTTCAATGGCCTTTGGTTGTTTGTAGTGGTCTAAAAGTTTAGTATTTTATAAACTTTTTCACTGGTTTTATTCTGTTTATATTTGTGTACATGTTATATTGCTACATATTTTTGTGTCATTCTTTTATTTTGTACAGCACTTGGGTCAGCTGTGGTTGTTTTTAAATGTGCTATATAGATTAACTTGATTTGATTTGATTTGAAATCCCATTCTTTAAAAAATAAAAAATAAAAAAATAGAATTACTGCCTCGCGGTTGTATGCATCTGCAAACCTGTCAAGTTACAGTTACAGTTTACATCCTCGTCTGTGAAAATATGGATGTTTCACACACATCTTGACCCCCAGCAGCATATATGGTCTATACATTCAGCACAGTTTCAGGGTGGGCACCCAAGATTAGTGTCAGTATCTGACCAAATGTCTCCCCCTCTGTTCCTGAGTTATGACATTGAGTAATGGCCAGAAACATGTTTCTGAAGAACACTATGATGTCACAGTGATGTTGACCTTTAAACTTTTGGACATAAAATGTAATCAATTCAACATTTTATCCTATCAGACATGTGTGTGAAATTTTGTCATAACATAATCAGTGTATGAATGATTAAGTTATGGCGAAAGACATGTTTTGTGGGGTCACAGTGACCTTGACCTTTGACTTCCACCCACCAGATTCTTACACTGTTAATTCCAAGTGGACGTTTGTGCCAAATTTGAAGAAATTCCCTTAAGGTTTTCTTGAGATATTGCATTCACCAGAATGCAGTGGACGAGGCTACATTGACCTTGATCTTTGACAACCAAAATCTTATCAGTTCATCCTCGAGTGCAGGAGAACATTGGTCCTAAATTTGAAGAAATTCCCTCACAGCATTCTTGACATATTACGTTTACAAGAATGCAACCGATGGATGGAAAGACAATCTGAAAACACAATGCCTCCAGCCACGGCTGTTGCCGGTTCGGAGGCATAATTAAAGTATATGTTTGTGACCTGTTTCTCAAGATTCACGTCTTCAGTATGAATTAATGGGCAACAAACAGGCTGGTGAAGCTGGATAGCAGTCAGAGGCTGACTCTGTTGGTTTGGTCTTTTCATAGGGTGTGTTGACAAAAGTATACAATATCACCAGCCTTATTGTTTCATTGTACCACTTTGGTGTCTTATTCATTCACTTTCCCCATCTCAGCCCTGTTGGATTTTTTGTTTTAGTGTAATTTCAGTGTATTTTAATCTTTAACCTTGATTATACAGACAGTACAGAGGGCCTTTTTTTCATTTTATTGAGTCATGTTTGATACCTTTCTGTTTAAAAAAAACCCCTAACTATAAAAACTACCTTGCATAAGCTGGATGAATTCATGCACTCTGTCCAAGGCCGGGCAGAGGTCAGCGGTGGATTCCAGCCTGTGCATCTCTGACATCTTGTTCCTCGGACTACTGCTCACTGCAAAAATCACCTCCTCTGTATCCTAGGGATATTCGAGTGATGCACAACAGATACCAAATGCAACCACGTACACTGTTTGATCAAACACATGGAAGAGTAGGAATACATGTTTTACAGTAAAAGTTCAGCAAAGGTCAAAGCCACACAGGGGGCGTACAGCAACTGCAACATAAAGTGAATAGAAAATGTGTTCCTGGGTTTACAAGGTCAGTGATGAGGCAAGCATCAAAGCCACAGAAAGTTGTGCTGAACATGCTGTCATACCCCAGAGATTAGACAATGCAAAACACACCTTCAGAATAGATGGTATGGTAACTGCAGGGGGTCTTAAGTTCTCCTCCGGGTCATCTTTTTTAGATTTTGAAATCATGCGAGGTCTGATGCTTCGGAAGATGGTGATGATGAGGATGTTTATTGGAAACATGAGAAGACCACTCTGGATCCCGACCTTGAGCTCCTGCCAGGTGATTTGCAATGAACCTGGAGAGGCAAAAAATGAATAAATAAATAAATAAAAAACAAGGACACAGTGTCAGTGATGGGAGGCAACTAAAACCTGTCTGGATCATTCAGGCAGCACATTGGTTTTATGACTTTTATCAACCTCATTAAAGCCCTGATAAAGTCTGTACGCTACCTGCTCAACACCAAAAAGCACACAGACAAAGGTAGGGGTGAATATTGTACTTAATTATTAGGCAGCTAAAGAAGCAAGTATTTCCTCTGGAGGGACTCATCAGGCGGCCAGGAACAAGACTCAAAAACAGAATCTAATGTCAGGTTTACACATGTTTTACATCATAAAATCATATTAAATTTGGTGTTTTAAAATCTCATGCTGAAATGTATTTGTAATTCAATGTAGTTAACAACAATCCATTTTAGTCTCGCATAGTGGATACACTTCCATTTCTAAGTATTATTTCATTTTACCTAACAGGCGGCAAATGTCAAATCTCAAACACACACACACAGAGGTACACAAAGAAAGCAGCAGCTTCAACAGTGCCTGAAGGTGGTGACATTGACATGTGTAGGCCCGCAGGTTTTACTGGCACTGTAGTTTGAGTGGGTGGAAGTTCGCTGCAAAGATCAGCCTCTCATTGGGCAGGACGAGCCACCCGCTGAAGTCCCGTCCTACCACCTCCGGTTGCAGTTTTCAACACGTCCTTTACTAACTTTTGCGGTGTTTGATCTTGCGGGGATGTAGCCATTTTTCTGCCATGGTTCGCATCCTGTAGGCGATATTTTTGTGGGCGTGTTACACCAAAACCTGTTTCCCCCCGGCAATATTTTTGCAAGCGCAACGTTGCTGTGGCACCGCCAAGAACAATTGTGATTGGTTGAAAGAAATACAAGCAGCCGGGGCGTTTTTTTTCTCCAATCTTAAAGTGAGAGTCGGCCCAGCAAGACCTTTCTTTTCTTGAGAAAGGTCTGGTGAGTGAGACTACTGCCACTGTCCAGAGCTGGTCTGAGGCTGACCAACTAGCTCCCTCTTGTGGACAATCTGCATTCAGCTAAATGTGAATGGGTGATTTTGTAAATAAAAAACATACAAACAAAAAAAGGCAACCTCTGGTGCTGAAAAATGACGTTATCTCTAAAGCAACAAACTGCAGTTCCATGAATGGCCACTTGAGGCTGGCTGTAAAAGTGAGTCAATCTCATTAGACACCCATTTTAAATACCAAACTTTAAAGTATAAATATGTTTACAGCCTGGTACAAAAAACAGTTTTAGTTTCTGTAGCTAATTTCCTCATTCATGACAACTTCACAGGGGATGACTTTTTACATAACCATTTAAGGCTAAAGCTACGCATAATTAAGGGCAGGGCTGCTTTGAGAGACAGGCTGTCTGTGAGGCATCACCACCATCTGTCTATGAGACAGATCCACCCCCTTGCTTCTCCACTGCTCCACCCTCTTGTCCAAATTTCGTCACATATAGCTCCAAATATCCAAATTAGCAGCAGCCAAAATAACAAACTTGAGGCTTCAAAACACGGATGTGTGAAGAGAACTGGATACAGCACTGTAGCAGGGCCCTGTTCATGCCTATGAAAGTTGCTTGGTGGCACATAAAGCCAAAAAAAGCCCATAGAACAAGCGTGCTAAAGACTTCTGCCGGCTGAGCGGCTAACCTCTGGTTTAGCATTCCGCTAAGTCAAATAAGGGTAAAAAAAAAGGGGGGCTCCTCTTGATTTTCAAAATAACCAAATAGACCAAATTTTGATCGTGAAATTAGTAATTTCTTGGGAGTAGGGACACTCAAAAAAATGTATCCACTGGTAAACAGACATCTCCTTCACAATGTAAGTCTCTGGGGAAAGTATTTTTGGGCCTGATGGCATCACATGAAAGACCTGGACATTGTGATTCTACAGTTTGGCCACTACAAAAATTGCCTTTAAAGCCTGAGGCTGTTCCTGGAGCCTTAACTCAAAACAAGAATCAGCAGTACTCAAAAGTTTGTGAAAGCTGCTTTAGTCCCTCATCCCACACATATTCAGTTATTGCTGTGGGCCTGTGCTGACACCTCCACACTTAGAAATGTTTCGGGTACACATATGGAAGCAGAGGTGCTGGAGAAAATACAAAATGAGACAATAGGCAGCCAATTAACTTAGTTTTCACATTACGCCCTCTGCTCCAGCTCACGTCTTGACTCCTACCTTTTGACCTTTCTCCAAAACTTTGAGACCTAAAGAAAACAGCTCATTATATTACATTTTAGATGTTCGCTCAGTTTTATGATCAGTATAGTAACTTTCTTAAAAAAATCCGTGGGCTTGTTGTGTAAGTGACCTTTTATTCTAGAAACATCTTCAGATGCCTGTGAACCAGCAACAGCACTGATAAATCTAACAAAGATTAGCTTTCTCTCTGTGTATTAAAATTTCTCTTCATCTAACTAACAGCTAAAATCATTCACCAAACTGGAAGAGCACTGGTGAGTCCTCATCTACAGGAATGTTCCAGAAGGCGATGTTAATGGCCATGGTGCAGAGGAGCAGGCTCATGCAGCAAGAGACCCTCTGGGCACGTGTGAACGGACTGCGTGAGGGAGGATCCACGATGGATACCCAGATGTGTTCATCCCTAAAGCCAGTCGATGTTCTGCTCTGGAAAATATTCCTGGCAGAGAAAAACAGAGACCCATCATGACACTTCCTCCAGAGCTGACTTTATTCCAGCAGTGTAACGTGGTTCTGACCTGAAGCTGGCAATCTCGTTGTTCTTTGCAGCATTGAAGGTTTTCTTGGTCATGTTGTCTCCACGGTCGGCACTCAGCCAGCAGTCACAGAAGAAGTGAAACACGTGTCGTGTTTGGAGGTCTTGTATGGTCACCTTGTTTATATACCTTTTTATAAGGGGAAATCATAAAACAACAATTATACATTTACCACATGGGTTGTTTATGTGAGAAATGCAAATGTTAGATAATATTTAAAGGTCTAGTGTGTAGGATTTAGGGGCATATATTGGCAGAAATGGAATTTGATATAGTAAGTGTGTTTTCGTTAATGTATCATCACCTAAAAGTAAGAGCTGCATTTTCATTACCTTATCATAAGCTGTTTGTATCTACATAAGGGAGCAGGTCCTTGTCCATAAAGTCTGTCATGCTGCACCGCCATGTTTCTACAGTAGCCCAATACAGACAAACCAAACACTGGCTCTAGACAGGGCCATTCACGTTTTTTTGTTTTTTGTCAATCACTGTAACTAGCACCCCCTCCGCAATGAGTAGCGCCAGTAAAACACTGATTTTTTTCAGTATTTTTTACTTGTTTAAATCACAGAGTCTGTTTGTTTTTAGGAGGAAGAGACCTCTGTGGATAATTTGGCTCCCAGTAAAAACCACCTGAAAGTCTGGATCTAACGATATCAGAGAAAAAAAGTGAGCAAACATTAGCAGGTGCTGAGATAGTGGCGCGTCTTGACGAGCCAGACAGCGTCAGAGAAACACTGATTTGTATCCTAAACTAATAATCAGTGCTTTTACCGTTTTTAATCACCTGGTCGGTTGGTTTCGGAGAAGGAGAGACCTCTGCGGATACTTTGGCTCCCGGTAAATCCTAAAACACCTGAACAGTAAACACTGTTGGAATCCTAATCCTAAAGTTTTAGCTGGTTGCAATCTACAATCCTCACCACTAGATGCCACTAAATCCCCCACAATCTTACACACTGTTCCTTTAAGCTACGCTAGTATGGAGTTAGATTTGTGTCTTTATTACATGCGAGAAAATAAATGATATGAGAGAAAAAAAAATGAGAGAAAAAAAATATTTGAGAGAAAAAGTTTTCACGCTGATAGCAAAAAATAATAATATTGGAGACTAAAAAAAGTTTTGAGAGAAAGCATTTTGTCATAGAATATAAACATTTTTTTTTTCTGAGATTTAAAAAATGATTTCCGAGAAAAAAAACTCTCTCTCAAAAAACAAATTTTTTTTTTTTTTTGCTATCAGTGTGAAAACATTTTCTCTCAAAAGAAATTGTTTCTCTCAAAACATTTTTCCTTCTCTGCTGTCGTGTCAGGATTTTGCTTTCGCTGTGCAAATAATGTCATGGGCAGGGCCACGTTCCTGTTGGCCAGTCTCAATCGAATTGACAGCTGGGTGAGGATCGTCTTGGGAGTCGAATTCAACTGAATCATTCATCCACCATGGTCGATTCACTGGCATAGATGCGCTGTGTTATTTGGGAGCGGAGACTCCAATGTTTGGGTAAGATGATGACACAGATGATGAATGATTGAGAATGAGAATGAGAGTAAAAAAAAGTTTTTTGAGAGAGAGAGTTTTTTTTCCTCAGAAATCATTTTTTAAATCTCAAATTATTATTTTTTATATTCTATGACAAAATACTTTCCTCTCAAAACTTTTTTTAGTCTCAAACATTTTTTTTTCTCTCTCATATCATTTATCTTTCTCGCATGTAATAAAGACACAAATCTAACTCCATACTCTAGGCAACTCTGCAAATAGGAAGCATCAAAAGAAGAGGATTCTATATCCATATTTGTATATATATCATATATATATATATATGTACCCATATTTGACCTTTTTTTCCAATTTTCTTTTTCTGTTATATGTTTCTGTACAGATACAACTTAATTTAAGTAATGGATTGTATTTTTATATGATGTATGTAATTTTGATGTTTGCTTAGTAATTTCTCATTTTAGTGCAGGATGTTTGTTTGTTTTCTCTGAACACTTGTGGAGGCGTGTCACCTTCAAAATGGCCTCTCATTGTGATCCATTGCTGTTCCCCACCTGCATTCACTTATTAATCAGGATTGGGTGACACCCCTATCAAGCTTATAAAATGTTTTGCTTGACTCCTGTCCACCCTTTTACACCCTGATGAAGACCTTTGGGTTGAAACCGGTCTGTGTATTAATGTAAGCAGCCATGTTTTTCAAATAAAGGCTTTTTAACTTAATTCAAGAGCATCTGCTCCTGCTCCACGCATGAGTACCTTTTCTTCCCACGTGCTGACCCTTATCTTCAAGAGCACATGCGTTTTTTTCTCTTGAGTGTTATATGACATAGACAGTCCTATAGCACACTGCTACCTCATTCTTCACCCATATTTGTGTGTTGTGTATTTTACTTTGAAGTTTCTTTGAATATTTACTGCCAATATTAAAGATAGCAGCAACCTCTGGTGCTGCATTGGTAGTCTTAGTGGAAGACCAGCACTGTATATTGCTCAAAGCATTTCCTGTGATTCTTTATGCCCCCTCTTATTAGACTACAGCTGTTCTTCCCCAAAGTGTGTGTGCATGCATGTGAACAGCCTGCTGGGAGTGGTCTCTAATGAGAAATGATAACAAGGTAGTGCTACGTGACGACAAAGGCCTGACATTTCAAAGTGTCACTGTGAGAAGCCAAGATGAGGCAATAAACACTACCTGTACACAGCTCTAACAACCCTGCTTACATCCTCACAGTGACACTAACCAATTATCCAAGCACTGAAGCACCCCTGCTCTGATCTGGAGTAGCACTAAATGTATTAATTGTTTCTCCAGTACCATGACGGATGACCTCCAGAGTTGTCGTGCTGCAGCCTGAGGTTTCGCACTTCGCCCAGTGGGAAGGGTGTGGCCAACACGAACATATCGACAGCTCCTCTCTCAAAGACAGGCTTGTCAGGATCTGTGAGGTTGTGTGTGTCACTCTCGCCCTGTGAGCCAATCAGCTTCACTGTCACCTATAGGACAGCACAAAGGGCACATATAACAGCACTGGTTTCACACATCAGTGACCTGAACCAAGACTGTGGAAAGCACCACACTATAGTGTCAGAGTAACCAGTATAGCATTTCATTCAAGGCTTTTCATTCATTTCAGTTTCTTTTAAAAAGACTAGTATATGCTAGGTAATCTGCAACGGTAAACATTTAATCGTTCTATTTATGAGTATTTTTATGAAAACAAATCATTCGTTGTATTGAACTTCAGTTATTACCTCTCTGTATTCTGATGCATTCAGGTGTTGGTGGGGAATTTGTGAATGTTTTATTGATTTTCAAAGTCTTTATCCCATAAAAAAAAAGAAACAAAACATGTATATTTGACTTCAATTCATTCATTCCTCCCATGACTATAAAAAAACACCATTCATCATATATGTTGACAAACTGAAATCTGTATCCCTGATTCCATGTCTCCCACCTTGCCCACCCACCTATAGGATTTCAGGCTACAGCTATAATACAACATCTATAGGTACCACCTTATTCTTTATTAAGGGGTTCCTGTAGTGAATCAAAAACATCAAAAAAGGGTGTCCATATCTTAGTAAAGGTTTGTGAGGACCTTATGAGTGTTTGTTTGATTTTTTCTAGCTTTAAGAACTATATAATATCTCTGACCCAATGAGAAAAGCATGGGGGAGCACGATGTTTCCAGTTCAAAAGGATCAAGCATCTTCCCAGGAGAGTAGTGAAGGCTATGACCACGTAGGCTTTGTTTGGTAAGATAGCATGGGATTCCTTCAAAGTTAAACCAAAGAGTGTGTAGACTGGGTTAGTATCCAATTGGGTTTCAAACACCTCACTAAAAACTTTAAAAATACTTCTCCAGAAGATGGACAGATCTGCACACAACCAGAACATATCCTCCTGAGACCCTGTGTCCTCGTATAAGGACATCACATCTTGGGTTTACTTGAACTTACACTTCATTCTGATTGACTTAGATCTGTTGTCCTTGTTCATTGACACTTTTTTGTGCCTTCTAGTGGTAGCAAGAGCACAATACACTAATAAATGTAAAAACAAGATGGCAGCCATCTCTGCCAAGTCAGTCTGCAGCTGATCCTGATACATAAGCGGACAAGGTCCAAAACCTGATCACATGTTATGGTTGAAACTTCTTTATTTATGATTAATAATGTTTGTAGTTTGATATGGCAACAAATTTGACCAATTTTAGCAACTGTAAGAAGATAAGACACTGTTAATTAGGCTGTACTTGTTTGAGGACATTAGGTTATGTTATTGTCTCATTTGAGGACATTTGGGCTTGTTGACAATGTTGTTTTTTATACTTACTGGGTCCGACTGATCCCAGTGTATGGTACCCTCAGTAAGATTATTATTCTACGAGCTATGTCAACTCTCTGTCAGAAATATTGAAAAAAAGCCAATCATTATTCTGTCAATGAACAAAGGCTCTTACATTGGCAGTAGTCCCAGCGTTCTTGCGATGACCAGTTTGGACACTGATCAGATAGTTGTAGTGAGCGCCTGGGTGGTTGTCCTCCAGCAGGGTCAGCTTCCTCTGATAGTTCAACAGACAACATTGTGGTGTGTAAATATTAATGTGTTGGCAGAAACTGCTGCATTTTGGTAGTGGGATGAATATTAAGAGTTTATTTACTAAACAAAATACACACCAGTTAAAAAGAAGGAAAATACTTGTACTTTATTTGAGTATTTTCATTTTAAGCTACTTTATACTTCTACTCTACTACATCTGGAAGCCAATATGTGCTTTTTACTCGACTACATCTACTTCGCAACACGATTTACTAGTTACTTTGCAGATTGAGATTATTATCATATTCAAAAAAATAAATTAGTATGTATTAATATGGATTAATCTACCCAACAGGATATAAGACATTAGCCCCACCTTTACCAGCTGCAACATTAGTGATGCTTACAAATTAAAGCTTTCATGTTATGAACCATTGACATGATATACAGTCAGGTCCATAATTATTTGGACAATGATACAGTTGTCATCATTTTGGCTCTGTACACCACCACAATGGGTTTTAAATGAAACAATGAATACCTGCTTAAAGTGCAGACTCTCAGCTTTCATTTAAGGCTTTTTTCAAAAATGTAGTATGAACCGTGTAGGAATGACAAGCATTTCTTCACACAGTCCCCCGACTTTAAGGGCTCATAAGTATTTGGACAAACTAACATAATCATCAATTAAACAGTCAGTTTTAATACTTGGTTGCAAATCCTTTACAGTCAATGACTGCCTGAAGTGTTGGACACATAGGCATCACCAGATGCTGGGTTTCTTCCCTGGTGATGCTCTGCCAGCCCTTTACTGCAGCCGTCTGCACTTCCTGCTTGTGTTTTGGGTGTTTTGCCCTCAGTTTTGGCTTCAGCAAGAGAAACGCATTCTCAATTGGATTCAGGTCAGATGATATGACTTGGCCATTGCAGAACATTCCACTTCTTTGCCTTAAAAATGTCTTTGGTTGCTTTTGCAGTATGCTTCAGGTCAATGTCCATCTGCACTGTGAAGCATCGTCCAATGAGTTTTGAAGCATTTGGTTGAATCTGAGCAGATAATGGTGCCCCAAACACTTCAGCTTTCATCCTGCTGCTCTTGTAAGCAAGACAAGACTTCACTAGAATAAATACAGAGGGTTTATCACAAGATGCAAACCATTGGTTAGCCTTAAAAATGGAAGGCCAGATTAGAGTTTGTCAAAAACCATCTAAAAAGCCTGTACAGTTGTGGAACAGCATACTATGGACAGATAAAACAAAGATCAACTACCAGAATGATGGGAAGACAAGAGAAGGAAGAAGGGAAGGAACTGCTCATGATCCAAAGCACACCACCTCATCAGTGAAGCATGGTGGAGGTACTGTTATGTCATGGCCATGTATGGCTGCCAGTGGAACTGGTTCTCTTGTATTTATTGATGATGTGACTGCTGACAAGAGCAGCAGGATGAAAGCTGAAGTGTTTGGGGCACCATTATCTGCTCAGATTCAACCAAATGCTTCAAAACTCATTGGACGATGCTTCACAGTGCAGATGGACATTGACCTGAAGCATACTGCAAAAGCAACCAAAGACATTTTTAAGGCAAAGAAGTGGAATGTTCTGCAATGGCCAAGTCATATCATCTGACCTGAATCCAACTGAGCATGCGTTTCTCTTGCTGAAGCCAAAACTGAGGGCAAAACACCCAAAACACAAGCAGGAAGTGCAGACGGCTGCAGTAAAGGGCTGGCAGAGCATCACCAGGGAAGAAACCCAGCATCTGATGATGCCTATGTGTCCAACACTTCAGGCAGTCATTGACTGTAAAGGATTTGCAAACAAGTATTGAAACTGACTGTTTAATTGATGATTATGTTAGTTTGTCCAAATACTTATGAGCCCTTAAAGTCGGGGGACTGTGTGAAGAAATGGTTGTAATTCCTACACGGTTCATACTACATTTTTGAAAAAAGCCTTAAATGAAAGCTGAGAGTCTGCACTTTAAGCAGGTATTCATTGTTTCATTTAAAACCCATTGTGGTGGTGTACAGAGCCAAAATGACGACAACTGTATCATTGTCCAAATAATTATGGACCTGACTGTATATAAATCTGGGCCTAATGAGTACATTTACTTTTTTGTACCTTAAGTATATTTTGATGTTAATACCTATGACCTTTTAAATGCAGGACTTGAAACAGTATTTTTACTCTGTTTTACTGCTTCTTTTATTAAAAGACGCAATCGGTTGAAACCTCACACTTTAATTAATAACAAAACAAATGTGAAAATACATTTTTTATGAGTGCCGTTTGGAGAGACTGACCTTAGAGCAAGACCTGCGGTCAGCATAGCAGGCCCACAGCAGAGTCACCAGGTAGAGCCCAAAGAAAGCACATAACAGCGCCAACACGACATAGTTCTCAGACAATGTGCTGAACAGCTCGGCTGTGCGAGATAAGTCCACGTAGTTTGGCATCACAAAGAAAGAGCTCCCAAAGAGAGTGAGGTGGTTACACAGACACTGCGTTCGCTCTGGAGTGCTTTTGTCCCCCACCTGAGACAAAGACAGCACATCACTTCCTGACATGCAACTGCTAGTGCTGCCAAAACATCACTGTACATGCAGAGAACGTAACATAGCCACGTTCATCAGACGTTATCCAGGTGGATAAACTCACCTGGCAGCCATCAGTGGTCCATATCTCCCTCTCTGTGTTCCAGTATAAGCACTTGCTTGTGAAAGAAGTGATCTTAAGCGTCAGACCAGGCTCCCAAGTGGTATTAAAGAGTCTGGTGTCAACATACCAGACTCCAGGAGTCTGCTGTAACATCTCGGGGGTTATCATCCAGCGATAGCCATCTGTTGCAAAAATCAGCCGACGTATGTCTTCATAATCCAAGAACCAATTCAAATATATCTGATGTAATAATACATGAGATACTTGGGAACACATACGTTTATGCTAAAATGGTGTCTATTATTATTTTGTGCTGTTATTATACCTACCTGGATCACAGTGGTCTGTCTGCTACACAGTGTTACAATAGATTTCTTAACTCTATGGCTAAAAATCAGAGGTCAGGCAGCAGTGACACTCACCTGTTAGGCTCAAGTTGGTTGTGCTGACAAAATATGTATCATTAGGAGGTGACCCCTCGGACAGCTTAAGAACCAATGACACATTAGCACTGGGCTCCACATTTAGGAAGATGGTCACATTAGGGTCTGAGACGTTGATTTGAGTTAGTGCTTTTGTGTTTTTCTCCAATGTAACAGTGCTGTTAGTCAGTGCTGTCGCATTTGGATGACGCAAATAGATCTGGAGAAACCACAGAAAGCAGTTTAGGATTAATATTAAAACTGAACTTGTGGATATATATCTTAGTTAAGCAAACATGTAGCCTTAAATCACATGTTACATCACACCAAAGATTTTTAGTTGCACAGTTAAGAAAAGGTCTTTTTCCTTCAAACAATACAGTTGGCAGATTCAGCAATATTCAGGATGAAAATAGACTGTGTCAGCTCTGTGGGGAAGTGAGTTTCATTTTCCTCTGGACCAGAGGTGTGGACTCGAGTCACATGACTTGGACTTTCATCACAAATCTGATGACTTTAGCATTGACTTGACAATATCAAAAAAAGACTTGCAACCTCAATTGAATTTAAAAAAACACCAATGACTCGTGACTTCAATTGGACTTGACTCTTTTGACTTAAAATTATTTGAGACCTTCCTCAAAGATTGAAAAGGGTGTTATTTATGACGTGTGTCATGAGTCATTTTCTGAAGTAAATAACATTAACGCTATTCATTCCCAGCAAATTGACACTTGATTCCCAGAATCCACATTGTTTGGTTGAAGCATCCAGTCAAGTTGCTGGAGAGAACCATGAATAACTAACGTTACATTACCAGCTGAAAAAATGATACCAAAGATGATTTCATATTAGTGTTGTGTCGTTCGCGAATGAATCGTTAAAAAAAACGTATCTGTTGAGTGAAAGTACTGAACTGAATCGCTTGTGAAACTGGTTTGTTCATTTCTCAGTTCAGTTGAGCTCAGCAGCGAGCGTGGACTGATTCAGTCCATGCAAATGATGAATCACTCGCGAGTCGCGAGGCAGCCAGGGTGAAGGGAGGGACTGCCTACCACGTGACAAATCACTCGGTGAACGAATCACTTGGTGAACGACGTAACCCTGATCCCTGAGTGATTCAAATCATTTCTTCTCAGCGATACACTTTCATAGGGACCGTTCTCTCCAAGCTAACGGCTAATGTAGCCAGGAGTAAAGCCACATGAACACAATCACACACCTCCCCATTGTTTTAACAGACTTAGTTTCCAGATAAACAAACTTAAAACGTTACGCTGGCCAGTAATGAGACTCACCAGTGCAGGACAGACGAACCTCCCGCCAAGCACTGAACTATTGGGTGAATGAATCTTTTTAATGAACTGATTCTAGTGATTCAGCTACATCTAGAGAACTGCTTTGCCCATCACTATTTCATATGTGTACAGAAACTACATGGTGGTCGAGAAAAAGCAAACTACAGTATGCAAAATGTGTGGGTCGAAAATAACAGACAGAGCAGTCCAAAGACATGCAGGTTAACTGGTGACTCTAAATTGTCCGTAGGTGTGAATGTGAGTGTGAATGGTTGTCTGTCTCTATGTGTCAGCCCTGTGATAGTTTGGTGACCTGTCCAGGGTGTACCCCAACTCTCGTCCAATGTCAGCTGGGATAGACTCCAGCCCCCCTGCGACCGCTAACAGGATGCTGACTTTGTCTCAAAAGAAGTTGACACTGACCGTGACAACTAGTAGCTCTAATAGCATTTACTTAATTAGTAATATACAGTACAGGCCAAAAGTTTGGACACACCTTCTCATTCAATGCGTTTTCTTTATTTTCATGACTATTTACATTGTAGATTCTCACTGAAGGCATCAAAACTATGAATGAACACATGTGGAGTTATGTACTTAACAAAAAAAGGTGAAATAACTGAAAACATGTTTTATATTCTAGTTTCTTCAAAATAGCCACCCTTTGCTCTGATAACTGCTTTGCACACTCTTGGCATTCTCTCCATGAGCTTCAAGAGGTAGTCACCTGAAATGGTTTCCACTTCACAGGTGTGCCTTATCAGGGTTAATTAGTGGAATTTCTTGCTTTATCAATGGGGTTGGGACCATCAGTTGTGTTGTGCAGAAGTCAGGTTAATACACAGCCAACAGCCCTATTGGACAACTGTTAAAATTCATATTACGGCAAGAACCAATCAGCTAACTAAAGAAAAACGAGTGGCCATCATTACTTTAAGAAATGAAGGTCAGTCAGTCCGGAAAATTGCAAAAACTTTAAATGTGTCCCCAAGTGGAGTCGCAAAAACCATCAAGCGCTACAACGAAACTGGCACACATGAGGACCGACCCAGGAAAGGAAGACCAAGAGTCACCTCTGCTTCTGAGGATAAGTTCATCCGAGTCACCAGCCTCAGAAATCGCAAGTTAACAGCAGCTCAGATCAGAGACCAGATGAATGCCACACAGAGTTCTAGCAGCAGACCCATCTCTAGAACAACTGTTAAGAGGAGACTGCGCGAATCAGGCCTTCATGGTCAAATAGCTGCTAGGAAACCACTGCTAAGGAGAGGCAACAAGCAGAAGAGATTTGTTTGGACCAAGAAACACAAGGAATGGACATTAGACCAGTGGAAATCTGTGCTTTGGTCTGATGAGTCCAAATTTGACATCTTTGGTTCCAACCGCCGTGTCTTTGTGAGACGCAGAAAAGGTGAACGGATGGATTCCACATGCCTGGTTCCCACTGTGAAGCATGGAGGAAGAGGTGTGATGGTGTGGGGGTGTTTTGCTGGTGACACTGTTGGGGATTTATTCAAAATTGAAGGCACACTGAACCAGCATGGCTACCACAGCATCCTGCAGCGACATGCCATCCCATCCGGTTTGCGTTTAGTTGGACGATCATTTATTTTTCAACAGGACAATGACCCCAAACACACCTCCAGGCTGTGTAAGGGCTATTTGACCAAGAAGGAGAGTGATGGAGTGCTGCGGCAGATGACCTGGCCTCCACAGTCACCGGACCTGAACCCAATCGAGATGGTTTGGGGTGAGCTGGACCGCAGAGTGAAGGCAAAGGGGCCAACAAGTGCTAAACACCTCTGGGAACTCCTTCAAGACTGTTGGAAAACCATTTCAGGTGACTACCTCTTGAAGCTCATGGAGAGAATGCCAAGAGTGTGCAAAGCAGTAATCAGAGCAAAGGGTGGCTATTTTGAAGAAACTAGAATATAAAACATGTTTTCAGTTATTTCACCTTTTTTGTTAAGTACATAACTCCACATGTGTTCATTCATAGTTTTGATGCCTTCAGTGAGAATCTACAATGTAAATAGTCATGAAAATAAAGAAAACGCATTGAATGAGAAGGTGTGTCCAAACTTTTGGCCTGTACTGTACATTTTTTGTTGTAGACATAAATGTTTAAAAATATGAGTTTGCAAGTTATGTAAATTGGTTTTCTTAAGGATTAGACTTGTGACTTCTTCCTCTTTGTATTTTTAGTACTATTATTATATTTACCACCTTTTGTCCTTCATTTGGAACAGTCAGTTCTCCTGTTTTGTGGTTCTTGTCACAGCTGACTCCACTGTTGATCTGTGAAAGGTTAGTGCTCTGATATACAAGGTGTCCCTGGCTGCCATCAAGGAGCTTCACTCTCTGTGCGGTCACTCTGACCAACCTTTCCATTACTGGCTGTGTCCTGGTTTATGTTACATGTCAATCACACTTCTGCCATTTTGAAAACTGCACTGACTGGCTCATTGGAGGCACTATAATGTTAAATATCTGTATGTGATGCACAGTGTTCTGTAAATGTCACCTTTGCCTCCCCCTTTGCTTGCCACCTACACCCAAAAAAGTAGCACTATGGCACTAATGACACAATACCCAGCTCCCATGTTGGCTGTACCTCTATCATCTCTGTCAGGTTTGTCAGCTTTATGTCTGAGACTCCATCGGTAAGTAAAAGGCTGCAAAGAGTTCCTGAGATGTTGTCATCAGACGGATGGGGGTTCCTTGAGAACGTAGCCATCTACGGAAGAGAAAAGATCTGTTGAAAAAGCTGCAGGTGACAATAAAGATGCAAACACATTTACACGTGATGTTAAAACACACACAGACCTGAGCGATGATTGGGCTGCGGCCTCCAAGCTGAGACTGAAGTGCTGCAAGTGAGGGGAGTATGATGAACTCACCGTCTTGCTCTGAGCCCAGCACGGCATTGCTGAGATCAGCAGGTGTGTGACTGAAAGGAGGGAAATAAGTTTTGGTTTTTAAATATGCTTGCTGCCATATTTATATGGTTACAAATGAAAGACAAGTTGCAAAGATGTTTGACGAAATATCCGATGAGTGATACTCTGACAGAAAATACCTACCTGCTCTGATAGATGGTGCCTGTTGGGTGCCTGATGACAATTCTCTGTGAGGTTGCTGAACCCACGAGCATCGAGACCGTCCGAAAGATCTCAAAGACCTCCTCAAACAAAGACTGGAGAGGGGAAAAAAAGGCAACGTCACTTGACCGTAACAACCATGACGTGACAAAATGAGTACGATTGCTAAATGCAGTACTTACCGTAGGGTTTGGGTTAGTCTCGATGTCGCATTTGTTCATTGAGAGAAGGAGGATGCCGGTGCTACAGTTGATTATGTGACTGATAGTGTCGTTGTTGTTCAAAGCATATTGTGCACTCAGATTTTTAGTGCCTGCCAACAAATACTGAATGAATTTGTCCTGTGAAAGGGAAAACATATTCATTAAATATGCCATGACGTACTCTCGGCATGAAAAAGGTGACTAATGCAACAGCGATAAAGTACTGTAAAACTTTAGTTAAAATCCTAGTCCCTCTTACTGGCCCAGTGTGGCTGCACATTTTGACAAATAAAGGCCTGTTTGAATTAGACACCTGGTCTGGTTGCCAAGCAGTTCATTTCTACAGAAGTTCTTAGGATTTATAAAACCTGACTGTTGACTACCTACTTGAGATAAAGCTAGTCAATATGGAGATGCTACACATCGTTAGCGCGGTTGATTTCATTTTACTGAACCCATGAGCACCAAAGAAGACGAAATAAGTCATTCAAATTTGCCAGCATTGGGAAAAAAAAGTGGTGACTCCCTTCTTCCTCAGTGGTCATAAAGTCAGAATACGTGTCCATTCCTCGATTGCCCAGTAAGTTATTCCTTTAGATTTAACAGGATAAAGTGGTGTTGTGTCAATATGCCGGGTGTTGTTATCCTCAGGTGCCATTAAACGAGTGTCATAACACATGATATGTTATTCGAAGTCTAATTATTATACAAGTAATATTCATACTGGTTCAGATAAACAATTTGATTGTATTTTCCATCTTTGCTGAGCAACAGTTTGGTGTAAAAGAAATTTCCCCTAGAGACGCCTGTCCCAAATATAGGCCTGTTGAGTTCAGTGATTTAAGCAAATAATAGCCCGGGCTACTAATTGAAGTTTTACAGTAATACTTTCTACAGACTTTCCAAAGTAAAGGAACCCACCCTGCTGTCGTCTGTTGGCTCCCCCATCGTCGTTTCCATACGCAGTAGCTCTTTATCTGCTTCCTGTGTCAGAGGAACAGCATTTATGAACTTTTTGAGTAACTACTATTCCTGTTCAATGGTCAAACCAAGGTTATTAACTAAAACTTAACTAAAAACTAAAACTAGGTGTGAAAAAAAAACAAACATTTTAATTAACCAAAATAAAATGAAAAATAGACTTTGGAAAAAGTGAAAACAAACTGAAAAGATACTGTGCACTCAATAAAGTAAAATACAGATATGCAGTAAATGTCTTGTTTTAGTCTTGGCCAAATTTGTCACCACAGCAGGGAAGAGGAAAAGAACCTTTGCTCGTTGCCAGGTAGCCAACTCTGCATGGGTATGTATGCAATATATATTTTATCAACAGAGTAGCTAACTTTGTGTAGCATAGCTTGTGTGTTAGTGCACGTGACCTGTAGCTGCATGTTTTAACATTTTATTAAGACCTACATAATGACTACTGTATTTTATCTATGCTTACTTTCTATTGCTACTCTGCATGTCTGCATGTAATGCTAAGCTATGTGTCGGTGCTTCATGCTGTCTTGTTGCTTTGCATAGCCTCTGTTCTATCGCAAGAATTTCTGTTTGCTATAGTTAATGCTGTCTGTATGTAACATCTTGCCAAAGGGCTGCAGCTGAAAAGTAGCCAGCAAGCTAACACTGGCACATTTACGGAAATGTTGATTAATGTGTGTTGTCCTTACAAAAAAAAAAAAAAAATTAAATGAAGGAGGCATTGGTGCATTCTCATAGAGACTGGGATGTCTACATGGCTGTCAGTCAGTAGCCTTCAGAAAGTGTTGTATTTGTGTTTCTGAACTTCTTAAATCTTACCTCTGACAAGTACCACCCACAAAGAACTAAAACTAATAGTTAAACTAATAAAAACGAAACTAAAATGAGCCTTTTTTACAATAAAAACTAAACTGAAACAAACAAAGCCACCCTGAAAACTAAAAAAAAACAAAAAACACACAACATAAAAAAAAGTGAAATAAAAATAACAACCAGTGAAAAATACAAAACTATAATAACTCTGGGTCGAACGGTCTTTTACCAGGAGGAGGTTGTCAATGTCTGCAACATGCATAGCCATGTTGCTCACATTCCTTTTGTGCCCTGAAATCAAAGTGTGTTTGAAGATAGAGAAAGAAAAAGAAGCAGATGCACAAATTCAGTTTTATGTCTGTTGTTCTTCACTTTCTTTATGCTGATTGAAATGATGTCATACATAATGTTTCAGTCCAACTTACGAGATCTGGCTGCATTATTTAACATCGCCCGGTACTGCAGAGAAAACATGAACAGAAGTAACATGAACACTCAGTCAAGATGTTTATACGGCTTCTTTCAAATGTGAAATGTTTCTCTTACCTTTGTGTTTGATGAAGAGCTAAAATCTTTAAAACAATAAGGACACTTTTAATAAACAATATATTGCATATAAAAAAAACAAATAATGAAATAAAAAAACTTCTCTCAGTTATTATGAATGCAGGAGAAGGAAAGAAGGAAGAAAGCAAGGAAAGACATAAAATTCAAAGTAGTGAGTAGGAAGCTGTTGATGCGTACTGTGGGTGCAGAGGAAGCCTAGCCTCTGGTTGCAGTCAGACGTTGGGATGAGCTGAAGAGGATTAAGCTTCATGTATGTGCAGTTGTTCCTTGAAATGTCAGCATTTTCTGTTAAGGGGAAAAAAGCATTAAGAAAACTTAATGTTTGGGACACTGCTTTGGGTTACAAGTTCGTTAGCTGAAACCCAATAAAGACAAAAACAATTCGGCTGCAATTATCAAGTATTTTTCAGACTTATCAATTAGATATTGAAAAATGCCATCACATCAAGTTACCAGAGCCAAGTGTAAAGTCTTAAAGATCCTTGTTTTGTCCTTTTCTAACCAACAAAACCATCCATCCATCCATCTTCTAACCGCTTATCCTCTTGAGTGTCACAGGGGGCTGGAGCCTATCCCACTGACACTGGGCGAGAGGCAGGGTACACCCTGGACAGGTCCACAGATTATCACAGGACTGACACATAGAGACAGACAAACATTCACACTCACATTCACACCTACGGACAATTTAGAGTCACCAATTAACCTGAATGTCTTTGGACTGTGGGAGGAAGTAGGAGTACCTGGAGAAAACCCACGTCGACACAGGGAGAACATGCAAACTCTGCACAGAAGGGCTCCCCCACCCAGAATCGAACCAGGAATCCTCTTGCTGTGAGGCGACAGTGCTAACCACCACACCACTGTGCCGCCCCCCAGCAAAACCAAAACATATTTATATCCAATGATATCAAACCAACGTTTTCATATTGTAGAAGCTGGAAGCTGTTTGGTATTTTTTCCTGACCAGATTAATCAGAGTTATCAGTGTTGTTCATTTTAATGAGTTTTCTCCTGATGGACTAATTTTTAGCACCAGAGATCATCTTAGTTTAGTTAATACATGTCACAAGATAACTAGTGTCAGATATTTAAAAAGTGGACTTTACATATAAAATGTGCTGACAGCTTTAAAAGTGTGAATGCTGTACTGACATATTTCCAACATATTTTCTGACTTACATAAGAATTTTGTTGATTTTTATACTGCATTTTGGAAAACTCTTGTAGTGCTGTTTGTTTAAGACAAGAAGTTTGCCATATTTTCTTAGATAAAAAATATATATATTTCAAAAAATTACAAAAATAATGAAATTAACATTTATATCCCCCAAGGGAAAATATCAAAAATTAGTGAAAGTCAGATTTTGTTTGACTGCATTACAACATTTCAGATGAAATCCAGCCTTACTCAGGGCAAAAGAAAGTCGGAAACCCTGGCTTTGTGAGGTAAATCTGAGGTATTTTATGAATAAATATAAATAAATATTATTTCTAAGTAAGAAGCATGACTTTCCACAACTCTGCATGTACAGACAGAAAGGCCATAGACACTTCAATTCAAGGATCACACGTAAAAAACACAATTAATAATTTAAAAGAAAACGTACACCAGTAAAAGGAAAGCAGTGTGTATGTGTGTGTGTGTGTGTGTGTGTGTTTGTGTTTTACTCACGTATGGTGGGGTCCTGGTCCTGCTCGTGGACCCCCTTCCCCAGCCACCATGTGCAATTGCTGGTGCTTTTCTCTCTGGTGATGTTGCTCAGAAACATTTTAATCTGGCTGTTCATCACCCTAAGAAGCTCCCCTCCTCGCCTTTCACAGCAACTCCTGGCTTGGGACCAAGTTTTAGATACTCGCAGAAACTCAAAACGAACATTTTTAAATGTACACGGTGCGGGGCAGTCATTGTAGTCCGTACAGGTCTCAGATATTTCTGATAAAGATAGAAATCCAGCTGAAATCCACAAAAAGACACAGGTTCGAAGTAACACAGCCATTGTTATGATAATGTACAGAGCTAAAGCACATAGTGTTGTAGGGACTGAGGCTGGAGGTGGGCAAGATCACTTCTGTCCGTCACATGGAAATCAGAGAGCTTTCTCCAGAAAAACTCTGCATATGTTCTTAATACATTAGGAAAATCACGGAGGACACTCAAACAAGATGCAAAGTGAAGCTGGCATCACCATAGGTCACATAAACTGAACCTCCTGTAGTGACCAAGGACAATGTTTCAATGTTTCATTTGTTGTCAACATGAATAACATACTGTATTATATTATCATGTGTAGGCCTATTGTAATGATAGTATCTTAAAAACAAATATCTTATACTCAAATTAAATCATTCTAAATACTCTCTGCTTCTTGAGAAGCACCTTAACTTCACTCTCTACCAAGTCCCGCCTTCAAATGCAAACTACCCAATCATTGCATAGCATCTACCAGGTTTGACGGCTCTGACAACTATGCATATTTCAGCCCTCAGGCCTTCTTCAATATCAACAATCATAGTCAGACACAGGAACACTGATTTGAGCCCACCAGGCACAGGCCCAGGGGCCTAAAGTGTCAGGTCCCCCCCGTCCTTCACCTGTAAAATGTCACTCAAAGAGACACAGGCGCAGGACACATAAAACGACAACACGGAGACACAAAACGACCATAAAAAGACACAAAAAACACCACAAATAGACACAAAAAAGTTAGAGAGATGCTTAACACCTACAGAGACATGCAAACAACAACTAAAAGAGCTGAAACAACTATAAAGTCTGCGTGTCATGCTCCTATGTAAGAGAGGTGTTGGGGCCTTATGCATGTCTGTGCCCAGGGGCCCATTATCTCATCATCCACCCCTGTTGAAAGTCATTAGATAATCATGCTACACCAAGAGGCCTTTAAACAAAACCTTTAAACAAAACAGGGACAGGAGCAGCTAATCATATTGCCACAGAATCTCATGGGATTTGTTTCAGGTTTTGTAGGGGGCATGTAGAGATACTTGTTACCCAGAGAGGTTGGAAGGATATAGCTTATATGTTTTAATGTTATACTATGCCACACTAGCTGCTGAAGTTGTATTTAATGTCCTGCTTTTGCTGTGTGTGAATAAAGACCTACCCTGCTTTACAATAGCTTACTTTTACACTGTCATCTGTAGGCTTTAGTTACTTTCTCTAACTTTTAAACCTGTTTTCTTGGGTATATTCTACAAACGCATATAGCAGGCTCTTCTGTCTGCTTCTCTGTGACATCAGTTTTTCGTTTATCCAAAAATTAGATCATATTTCATCAGGAGTAAAGATGAGCTCTGTTTTCGCTGCGTCAGTTTGACAGACTACAATAAAGAGGCGGGCTTAGCGAGCTCCTCCGCTTTGCTTTCACGTCACATAATGGCAGTATCGCGAGACTACTAACCGTTATGAAGCTCGAGGAAAAAAACTGAGATATCGCGAGAGGACGTAGAGGAAGCTGTTACCGCATGTGTTCCATAGTACGTTTGTGTAACATGTTAGGAAGAACCTTAAATGCCCTTTAATGCAATGACAGAACTGCATCCATGGCGGGACAACTGAAGGTAATCTCAAAGACAGTCTCATATCCTGTCTTCCCTTTTTGTGTTGGACAGTCGGATCATTTGAAACGTTGCTAACTTGATGAGACAGTTCCTGTTTGCTAGTTAGCTGTGTTGCTCCATGTAAAAGTAACGTTAGGGTAGAATCACTGCAGGTTAGTTTAGCTGTGGCGGTCTTTGCATACAGAAACATGTTGTGGTGGTGTCTTTGCCAGCGGATTTAACGTTACTTGCCCTCTGAAACACTGGGCGGTTATTGTTAGAGATTTGCACATAGACAGATAGTTAGGGTTATTTGGAGTATGTTAAGTTTTTAACTGTCAAATAGAGACGTTACTAAAGTCATAGTCTTCCTGCAGAGTAAGTTACCTCTAATCACACATCAACAGTGGTGGACTATAACTAAGTGTAAATACTTAAGGACCATCCTCAAGTACAATTTTGAGCAGTGCCGTACACAGACATTTTTCAGGGTAGGTGCTGAAGTGAAAAAAGGGCACCCCTTCTAGAAAAATGTTTGCACACATGCTGAAAAAACGTTTTGTGCACACTAGGGTGACCATATTTTGATTTCCAAAAAAGAGGACACTCGGCCGGCCACGACAAAGCCTACTTAAATGATACTCGCAGTTTACTCAAAGATGCCTTATAATTTTTATATATATAAAATATATATGAATGGATAGAAAATTCAGTTATATTACAAAATAATATCTCTCAAAGACAGAAATTCAGATAGGCCCCAATAGGGGACACATACACACTAGAGTGTGGCGATCCGAGCCCGATGGTACCCGACGGGTCGGGCTGGGTTTGGTCAAAAATGTAGCTATAAATTGTATTCGGGCTCGGGTCGGATTCGGTCAGCTTTCAGTGAAAATGTAGTGTAAAAATAAATAAAATCCTATTGTCTGTCCTATTTATTGCTTGGGCACTGTTATTTACGTGACAACACCTGAACATAACACACACAGACACACCTTGGTTGTTTGTTTCTACCTCTCTCCTCACTGGAAGTCTCGGACCTCCAGCCGCCCGCCTCCGCCTTGATTAAACGCTGAAAATAAAATAAAAGAGGGAGACAGGTTTTTCCTATTTTATCTTATTTTGTTTTATTTGTCCCTCTCCTCTCGCTAGAAGCGTTGGACCTCCCGCCTCCCGCTCCCGTCTTAAACACGGAGGTCTCCCTCTCCGCAGAGCACCCATGGCGCATGCCCAGCCTGTTAAATAGCCTGTAACAATAACAACTGTGTGACACAAACTCAGTGCTTTAGTCATTAAATAATGTCGGGCTAGGTTCGGGTTCGGACAGAAATATGCTGCCCGTGCCGCACTCTAACACACACACACACACACACACACACACACAAACACACGGAAAACCGGACATTATCATCAGTTTATAAAACCCCCCCGGACGCCCCGGACGGGACGTGAAAAGTGGACATGTCCGGGCAAAAGAGGACGTTTGGTCAGCCTAGTGCACACACAAAGTGCATCCTGACAGAAGGTTTCTATAGCCCCATTTCCACCAAACTCTTTAGATGTGGTACCTAGACCCAAGGTCTGCTTAGCATTTTCACAGCAAACAGTACTCTTAAATGTGCGCAGGGTTGTTGTCACTCACTTGCTGTATTTTCTCATCACCTGTGACACAGATGGAAGTCTGCACCTCGTTTATGATCCACAGAACGAGGTTGCACGCCAACAGTTTTCAGAACAAAACAGAACAGGCTGCAGTGAGAGTCTCTCTCGATTTAAAATTCAAAAATAGCAGGTTTGTGCATTTAGTTCTTCTCAGGCAAGCTCAGAGGTTTAGTGTTGCTGCAGCTCAGAGGAACAATGCTCCACAGCGCTTTTTATTCTTCAAGAGAGGATCAGAGTATGTGCATGAATGCTGGGGAAGTGAGAAAGCAATTTGGCGTCTGTCTCCTCTCACACCGGGCAGTTGATGTGCCCGAAGCTACCAGAGAGTTGGAGGGAGACGGTGGTTTTACACCACACTAGCTTAGTTGTTGTTAGGCTTAATAGTGTGTTATTACCTAAGTTAGGCTGGCTGTATCGAGATGCTTTAGTAGTATGTTTAATTACACTAGAGTGACAATACAATACCAGTACCTCTTGATCTGGCTGTCCATGAAGGCAGGTCAGGGAGACGTGGATGCTGCTTAACGTGGTGCTAAGCTTGTTTTGACAAGCGAAGTTAAAGATAGAGGGACAGGGACTAGACTCAAATGCAGTTGTGAGACTTAATACAGGCTTTTAATTGAGAATTGATGCCATGGGACAACTTACAAAATTTAAAAAAAAAAGAGAGAAATTTTATTGTCTTTGCACAGAATGCAGGTACTGAGTCAAGTAAATGCAGTTTGGCATCGAAGCAGAAGTGCAACAAAAGCAGTAAAGTGCAGCTTAATGTAAATATGTCTAGTTAAGTGACATGGTCAGATAGTGTCAGTCTTTAAAGCAGCTATAATCAATATTGGAGCCAAATATTTTCCTCAGGAGTTGGAGGAGACCAAAACAGAGCGAAAACAAAGTGAATATTAAATTTAGATTTAGATCCACCAGGTGGACTGAAAAACAACTCAAAATAAATGATGATGTTGCTTTGTGCTGGATGTGGAAATAAGCAACAGGTCACTAACAGGTTTCCCATGTCAACTTATAAGGTGATGATGTGCCAATGGTGTGTCACAACTTCACAACTGCCATAAGCAAGGGGCCAAAAAAAATCAGTTATTGCAGGTTAAACCTCATTGACTTCAAACACAAGCGACACCAACAAAAGTCTGTATACAAACTGTTATTATGGAAATTGTGCAGCTACAACCATCAGTGTTTTCACTGAAGTATCGCCAGTCTGTTCACAGTATTTAATGTCTGACATGAGTCCTTTTGAAGGCTCAGTTTTATGTATTAACATTTCATGCTTTTGTCAACAGAAACAGTTAAAAGAAGCCGTGAAGATCATCGGCTCAGGCAGCCTTCTGTTTGCCTCCTACCTCACTGCGATAGGAGATGAGCGTTTCTATGCCAATCAGTTGATGCCCATACTGCAGAGGGTTGTGGGGGCAGAGACGGCACATGTGCTGGCAGTGAAGATGATCGGTCTGGGTCTGGTTCCTCTTAACCGCTACCAGGACCCTGCATCATTGGTAAGCATTTAACCTCACTTTCTTCTCATGATTATTTCCCAGTGACCCCAGACACCTTGAGACTTAGTTCTTTTTGTTTTAAATGATTCTACAGGAAGTGAACGCCTTGGGATTAAAGTTCAGAAACCCGATTGGGATTGCAGCAGGCTTCGACAAGCACGGAGAGGCCGTGGATGGGTTGTACAAAGTGGGTTTTGGCTTTGTTGAAGTGGGCACAATCACCCCCAAACCTCAGGAGGGAAACCCCAAACCTCGAGTGTTTCGACTCTCTGCAGATCATGCAGTTATTAACAGGTACGTTTTTGATAACTTTGTATAAAGGCAGCTCTGTCTCCCAAGAAATTATGTTTATATACAACTGATTTGAGACAGCAAATAATTTTTTGTGGGAAATGTAATGCCAAGTGAATTAATGAGGGTAATTAACATACCTGGAAAATTGCAAAAATGTACAAATTGGACGTATCTGCAAATTTATTTTATTACCTTCCTTCTCTAACCTAAGTGCTTTTATTGGCTAAACCTAAGACAGGAGTGTAGATGCAAACCTGGGATTCTGATGTCACAGTCCTGCACTTTGAATGTCCACCATCCACCCCAACCACCTCCCTGCAAATCCAGCACAGTACATAAATGTAGTGTTTTATTAACACAAAGAAACAGTGTCACTAAAAGTAATCCTGGCAGCAATGCTGTTGACACAACGGCATAATTATGAAAGAATTTTTTTAAGAAGAAGAAGAAGAAGAAGATATCCTTTATTAATCCCCAAGCGCAAGTTCAATTTTTTAACTCGTCATGTACACACAGGCCCAAAATACACACACAAACAGGACATATACATGCATTAAAAAGAGAGATGTCAGACTGAGGGGCTGCCCATGCACAGACAAGCAGTTTGGGGTTTGGTGCCTTACTCAAGGGCACCCTGGCAGTGCCCAGAAGGTGAACTAGCACCTCTCAAGCTACCAATCCACACTCCATATTTGGTCTGGAAGGAGACCTGAACCGGTGATCCTCTGTTTCCCAATCCAAGTCTCTATGGACTGAGCTACTGCTACCTGAATTTAGTAATAAATAAACATATTTTTTAGGAGACAGGGTTGCAAAGAGATACATCAGGATTATGCTCAAACTGAATGTACACAATAGTACTACTCGGACGGAATTAGTTTTACATAGGGGTGTGGACTAATGTCAGTTTACCACAGGATGTCTGTAATATAAATGTCCGATTCACAAGGGACAAGAAATCTCCATAATTCTACAAGAGATGGGAGTGGTAACTCGGTTTGCGCCCTGGCGTCACCTCCCTGTCGGCATGCATATGCTACGTTGCTTCCTGTAAGCATCAGCTGAAGGATAATAATAATTGATGATTAGCCCAATTTGTAATATTGCCCATGATCAGGATTGTGTGTACACAACGATCAGCAATATGGATTTATATTAGGCCTACTTAACACAACCAGAAGTCTCGTGGCTCTGAAAATGCTTTCTTCTCAAACTTTTTGATTGGTCCCCCACGTAGAGCTATGCAATCATTAGAAGAATGTCCACTATCACGAACAACACCGAATGCTTCTTCAAGTGCCTCCATCATCGGAAGAACGTGGAAAAATAGTTGTAAATGCGGAAAAATGGTTGTAAACAGGACGTGATGAAATATTTACATGCATTTTTACAGAGGATCGCGTTTGCACGGGATTAATATTACCCAAGGTATTTTCTCTGGACCGTTTTACAGAAGGTAAAAGTCGGCGTAATTTTTACTGACGTTATCGGTAATGGTTACAGACATAGCGTGTTCAGACGGGACTAAAATCCCTGGTAATAATTACTTTACCCCACGTCTCCACGTTAATCTAATCCCATCCCTATAGGGCTAATGACAGGTAGGGCTGGGCGATGTGGTCGAAATTAAAGGTATACTATGCAGGATTGTCAGTTACTGTTTTTAAACAGGCACACCAGCAAATGTAAAAGTCAACCTCAAGACTGACTCTAGTTTTTCGTTTCACTGTATTTGCTTTTTTTTTTGGTTTTGCGTGTTTTTGATGCCTGTTGCTTATGGTCTTGCACCTAGTCGCTACCTTTTTATAAAGCCTCAACCTTATCGTTAATGGTGTACAATCATTAACGTCCCAAGCACAGAAAATAAGAATATACAGGCAACACACATCTTGTGGGTCATAAGTGATGATTTAAGAGGGATTACTTCTGTATGAGACTATACATTGTTTTTTAGGAAAATCCTGCGTATTCATTCATTCATTCATTCATTTTCCATGCCCACTTATGGCTGGAGCCTATCCCAGCTGACATTGGGCGAGAGGCAGGGTACACCCTGGACAGGTCGCCAGACTATTGCAGGGCTGACACATAGAGACAGACAACCATTCACGTTCACACCATAGTATATCATAAATGTCAAAGTATTTTTTTATATTAAGATAGACTCAGTTGTCAAATTATTTAGTGTTGCACACAAATAATTAGCATTAAACCCTCGTTGGATCATGTTGATGCTGATTTTGAGTTGCTTGCTTTATAGTAAAAATTTATGACTTTTTTTTCTTTTTTATTGAACGTGTTACGTAGCTTAACACCCTACTTTCATGTAACATCTCACAAAGACTGTATTCAATTTATATAACAGTAAATGAGTCACATTAGTCAACAGCAGGAGACGGTGATGTTACTGTATAATATTTTTTCCCACATGGCTCTGTACGTTCAAAGAGATTAAGCTGCCTACAGGTTTGCTACCAAAGGATTCGCATTCACAGAGCTGTGAATAAGAGTTCATGGGTTAGCCTCCTTTTCTTTGCAGATTTAATTTGCAACACAGATTTGAATGGGCTCAATGAAAGAAAGCTTTCTTTACCAGGTCTTTCCAGATTTCATTTTAATATGTCATTATACACAATACAAACTGGTAATTTATGATAATTTAGAATAATGAGTTATTGCATCAGACCCTGTGAAAACCTTTGCCAGTGGATCTCCAGCAATTTGATTTAAATATTCCATACAGATGTTTTCATGTCAAGGATTTGGTATGAGGTGCACTTCATTAGGTAAATTATAAGGATGACCTAGTTAGGTATAAATTATACAGCAGTACAGTATTTCCACAAAATATTCTTGCGTAATTGGCAAATGGAGCAGGAAAGCAAACTTGCATAATGCAAAAACGACATCTCTCAGACAAATTGCTTTATATTATTCATACAGTATCATGCAGATATACAAACAAATTAGAGTAAACCCGCCTGTCAGGTTGTTGTAATTATATGTGTTGTTTGTATTTTATAATAAGAAATGTCACATTACAATGACATGAATTTATCATGAGACTTAATCCATGGTTGTTAGAAAGGCACCTCAGAAATCACAACGGTGGCTGAAGATTAAGCATACAAAGAAAAACATTATGCCTTATGAGGAATAATCCAACATCTTGAATTTCACTTCGCAAAGTGTCTCTGGTAGGGATGCACCGAATATTCGGTAACTGAATATATTTGGCCGAATATTCCAAAAAAACACACATTCGGTATTCAGTGGAATAAGTGAAAAGCAAGGCCGAATGATAGCGGCGTGTTTTGATAACACAATCAAACAGCGTGCGGTGACGGACGGAGTAAAATGTCGGCAGTGTGGCGATATTTTACTCCGTCCGTCACTGCACTCGCATTTGCGACTAAAAATAGTTTTGTTCAAGCAAAATAAATCATTCAGCACGCTGTGCGAGTACAGATTTCAACCAGCAGCAGAAACTAAAGGCGAATCCCACCAGTTGTGGGTTGAACGGGGGTCACAGACACAAACAGGAATGTATTCCTGTCAAATACAGCGGCCATAGGCTTACCGGTAACGGAGAAGTCTGGCTTCAATAATGTCCTCTTCTTGGCATCATGACTGCCCAAAAGTACCTGAACAGCAGAGCCGTGGCAGCACACAGGTATGTGATGTGTCAGAGGAGAAACGAGCCGTTCACATTTCTCTCTTTGTAGCAGGTAACAGCCCGCAAACCTCACTGCACTTTAGGGACTGTTCTTTACTTATGAAGGGACTTGTCAGGGGAGGAGGGTGGCTGGTTGATTTTTATTTTATTCATTTATTTATTTATTTTATTTTGATCCCCCCTATGTTCATCACTTATTGATGCTGTTTTTTGAAGTATGAATAAGTCAGTAAGTAATTTATTCCATTGAAATATCATTGATGTATTATAGAAAAGTGATTTATCTTTTTATAAATGACAAAAGGCACACCTGCCTCATTTTCGCTGTGATATCGTGATACTACTCAGAACCATGATATTTTCACTGGTATCGTACCGTGGGTCCTAATTTTGTTACCATGACAACACTAATCTGGAGGGGGTTCATCTGCAAAAACTAATGAAAAACTAAACAACGGTATTCGGTATTTGGTACTCGGTATTCGGCCAAGCGTTTAATAATATTCGGCTTCGGCCACAAATTTTCATTTCGGTGCATCCTTAGTCTCTGGGTACAGGATTCTATCCGTGTTACATCCCCATGTAGACACAATCATACAGTTACCATGATGCTCATAACCAAAAAGCAAAATTTAGTGGAAGCACAGGTAAAGGGCCACCTGCTGGACATTACATCCTGATGCACCTTGATTGTGCCATCGTGGCAGCTGCAGGTTCGTCAGCTCCATTAATTCCGGAACAGTGCCCTCTTGAATTTGGGACCCCCATGCTCCTTAAGAAGCACTGGGTGGATGTACCCACAAACGCTCTGAAGCTGACTTCCACAGGGTACTTGACACCCAACCACCCCGCCACTTTGCACTTCACTGTCAGCTCTGTGTGCTTGTCCCTTTTCCCTTCTGAAGGCCGCCTCTATCCCCCACTCCCACAGGACAGTGACCTCAGCCATGATCACTGGCCGGGATGTGGCGGCCCATGGGATGATGTTAGGTCACAGAGAAGGTGTGGTGATCTCCATTGGGAGCTTGAGCTGCCAGTCAAGATCCACTCTTAAGTTCCATTCACACCCAGGTTTATAGGACTGATATATAGGACTCCCTCTGGTAGATGTTCTGTTCTAGCCGCTGTGGTGTTGATGGAAGGTCTCTGCGGTCACTCTCATCCTGCATACCTGTAGGATTTTCACCAGCTTCCACAGGACTCAGACGTGACATGACCTGCATCGACCCTGAGCCAGTGCTCTTTTTTTTTAAATGGACAGGATGTACAGCAGGCTGGGGTTCAGGGCACTGCAGAGTTGGTGGATTTCATCTGAGCCATACCACAGGTACAGGTAGCTGGGGATTGGTAGAGTGTCCTAAGCAGACCTAATGAGGAAACTCAACCTGGCTTGAAGTATCTTCCACATGTCGGCCAAACTTATGAACCTGTTGACCACTCCCTCCCAGGCTATCTAGCGTCCTTGTTGCCGCAGACTGAGTGCTCTGATCTTATATTGCCCCTCCTACATCCTGACAGCCTCTGAAATTCCTCTCCTTCCTTGTGGCTTTGGACCACATCTTGGAAGCTGTCCCCTCACCCCAGGCCAGCCCTTCCTGACTGCGTTCTGCCAACGATCTTACAGTGCTTCAGCCTGCTGATGGCTTGGTCGACTGCTTGTTAAGTCCTCCAGTTGCGTCCAGTTTGGAACGGGGCCTTGTTGTTCTTTACAGACAGATCTAAAGAGAAGATAGTTTTAGTTAATCAACATGCTCATGTTGTTATTTATGTTGTGGAGTCAAGTGTGTTGGTTCCATTCCAACAGTGGCGGGGGGGACTCAAATGAAGAGGCGGCTTCTGGGGGTCGTCCCCCAGGAAGTGTTAAGCGTCCAGCACTTCATTACCTGCATTCTGGTGAATTTTAATGCACCAATTCATGGTGGTAATGTCTTCATTTATGTAAGAGAAAGCACAAAACTGACATTTCAAAATATAAGATATGATTGAATATAACGCAGTGAGGCTTTCAGGCATCAGCTTACCTCATTCAGTGGTGTCTCTGCTGAGTCAACACATGTAAGCATCATTTTACTTTTCACTCTGAAGAGTGGAAGCATCTCTGATCGTGCATAATATGGGGTTGTCTCATATTGAAAAATAAATGCGCTGTCCCCAGTCAGTATGAAGTGCAGTTTGTCCCATATTTTCATGCACAGAACTGTTAGTATGAGGACAATGTGAACGGGTTGCTCAAATATTGGTAGGTACGATTCTGTCCTCCCAAAAGGGACATGTCCTTACCATCCATGTGGAAACCTACGCTCGTTAGTACAGTTATTTATCGCTGAAAATAAAGTATAAAGCAGGAGTTACAAAATGATAAAAACAATTCTAGTCGGAGTAGCATGTGTAATAATGTGTGTGCATGTGTGTGCTTCTCACCAGATATGGGTTCAACAGCTGTGGTCTGGCAGAAGCACAACAGAGGCTGAAGGCCAGGGGCGACACGCAGCAACAGCTAAGTAAAGGTTAGCAGGCAGCAACTTCTCTTCTCAGCGGGGAAAAATGTTTTAGTTTTCCTTTTTAAAAAATTTAAGCTGCTTCAACTTTTAATGGTGCATTAATCTGTTATAAATCTGTCCTGTTTTTCTCTGGTGTGTGTTTATTATTCATTAGTTGCATCGTTTGTTAAAGGAAGCCAAATAATAAATTGGGGATGTGGTTAAATACAGTATTATATTCTATTTTGATGATCTTTGCCTGTCCTTGACTCACGTTTTATTGTGTCTGATCCGTACTTGCTTACAACTCATGTGGCACAGCAGCAGCCTCTGCCCCAGTTGAGTCATGCGTCTGGTGTTGCAGTCTGGGTTTGTGCTTGTTTAAACTCTCCTCTGTGTGTGTGTGTGTGTGTGTGTGTTTGCATATGTGTCTGTGTTTATAGCTGGCCTTCCCCTGGGCATCAACCTGGGGAAGAACAAGCTGTCCCAGGACGCAGGAGCAGATTACCTAGAGGGGGTGAGAGAGCTGGGCCCGCTGGCTGACTACCTGGTGGTGAACGTCAGCAGTCCTAATACACCAGGTCTCCGGGATCTACAGGGGAAGGCTGAGCTCCGCCAGCTGCTACATACGGTAGGACTGTCCAAATGTGCACTGAATTCATCATCTGGCTTCATTGCTCAGCCTTTTTCCCTCAAAAACTAATTGAATGTGCATCTAAATTATGAATGATACAAAGACATCATCATATACAGAAGAACATAATCATAAAAATAAAATAAAAACTAGCCTCTACGTCTTATTGATTTCATGTCTTATATATAATGTTACAGTGTTGAATGTGGCTCCAGTTTTAAATGATAAGGTAAATATATGTAAAAATAATCCTAGTGAGCAAAAACCTCAGGCTTCAGACCGATCCGAACACTTTGTTTCCCACTGGTTTCTCCACTCTGGTTATAGTATGCTGGGTTTCTTTATATGGTCCTCTCCAGGCATACTTCTGCAAGTGTTTACACTCTGTAGCCGACACTGCTACATGTAGCTACATGCTAACTTCAGGGAAGCATGGAAACTTCAGCTCCATCCATAAGGACCTGGTTTAGGAACTGGAGGTTCACTGGTTCAAGGCACCGAACCCCTTACTGCCTTGGGCGACCGTCCAAAGGCAGCCCCACGTGCTGATATCTCTCCATTTAATGCATGTATATGTCCTCTTTGTACATCTGTGTGTATTTGGCGCCTGTGTGTATATGACAACAGAGGGAAAAAATAGAATTTCCTCCAGCAGATTAATTAAGTTTATCCTCTTCTTCTTCCCGTCCTGCGCTGACAGTGAAAAGGCATTGAAGACTCGGAAACACTGACAAAGAGAGCAGACTAGGCTTTTTGTGTTGCGGGGCTTAGAGACAGGCGCTAAATGGAGGTTCTCAGACAGAGGGTACAGGTACATGTGTTCCAGCACAGACTGAATGAAAAATAGTAAATGTTTTTTTTAAAAGCTTGTAAACAGGGTGTCTACAGGTCCTGAAAGTCTTAAAATGTCTTAAATTCAATGTTACAGCAATAAGGCCTTTAAAGTGAGGTCTTAACTATTACAAACGTTTTATCTAATTTCATTTATCCATTAATTTCTTTTTGTGAGAATGAGTGAAGCCTCTCTATGTGAAAATCCACATGTTTAATGTAACAGATCTTTAAAAAAAAACAATACTGTAATTTTACTTCATAGTTGCACTTACCTGTTGGCAAAATGTAGACTGACTTTACTCACTTGAATAACCATATTCCTACATAACACTGACACGTCTGCGCTAGACCACATAAATACTGCTTGCCTGCAATGCTTACCTGCAATGTTTAAATAAGTAAAACATGATTTGTCAAAAAATCTGTCCTAAATCTGGTTAAAAGGTGTCTTGAATGCGTCCTAAAAGCAATAAATTTAACTGCCTGATACCTGTAGACACCCTGGTAAACATGTTGCAGAAGCCCCAAATGCAAACCTGAAAATGAGCATCGCAGGTGCCCTTCAAGGTACATTGTGCGTGCAAAAAAAAATAGCCTGTTTAATTAATTGATATCTGCTCTGCGATTAATTGAAATAATATTTTCACTGTGTCTTTACCTCAGTCTCTACTCACTTCTACAGCTGTAACACAACCCACCCAAGTGAAAAGCGAACACTGTTTTCACCCACAGAAAAGGCAAAGATGAGTCAGGACCTGGTTAATGAGTGTGACACAGCAGTGACAAAAGATGTGATGAAAGCCCCTCAGCCTTTCAGCAAAGTGCTTTAGGTATGATGCTGAGTGAAATGGACTTGGCAAATGGACTTGCGTAGCTCCTTTCATGCCTTCCGACCACCCGAAGCACTTTTGTGCTACATGTCACATTCACCCATTCATTCACACACATATTTATAAAGCGGTGGCCGAGGCTATCATACAAGGTGCCACCTGCTACTTAGTTAACCATTCATGTGCACTCACTGTGCTGTGGTCAGCAATTTGGGCTAAGTACCTCGCCTAAGGACACTAAGACATGTAGACTGGAGGAGCCAAGGATCGAACTGCCAATCTTCCAAATAGAGGACGACCTTAGTTTGACAGTGTTTCTGACTAGTCTCCAGTACTTGTAGCTCTCTCTGCCCCCTCACATGATGCACTCACATTCTCCTACAATCTGCTCAGGTGCTGAAGGAGCGCGACGCTCTGCAGGGAGACCGCAAACTTCCGGTCCTGGTGAAGATCGCCCCTGACCTCACTACGCAGGACAAACAAGACATCGCCGATGTCGTCACTGAGGTTGGAAGTTATTTGTTGCAGTCATTAATGGGATACTTTGCTGATTTTCAACCAGCTTTGTATCATAACAGTGTGTGCAGAGTGTGTATATGAGCTATAGTGAACTTCCTCCGTCTTTCCAGCTCCCATATCTCTGCTCATTTCCCAGCTCAAATTGCTGACTCTGGGTCTGTTGCTTGTTCTACAGATTGTACGTCTGCATTAAGACACAAAGAGTATAGAGGTGGATGGCGACAGAGAGAGAGGCCTGTCTCCCTGTTTCTTTCTCTAACTCAGACCAAACGCAGATCAAATGGTAACTTAGCAATACAGTTACCAACCACCATCTTGTTTCCTGTTTCAAAATGAAGTCACTTAAGTCAGTGAGGTTCATTGCATTCTGTTAGTGTAGGTTTTCTACTTCTTGAGCAAAAAGCAAATGCCACAGCACTTTTTCTCTGTTTCCTCTTTTCATGTTGCACCAATTTCAAAAGTATTTATATAGAGAGTCTTTCCAAGAAGTGAAATACTTCTTAAAATTTTCTAACAGGGCATTTATTTTTTATTTACTGGCTTGTTCTTAGTTTATTTTTTCTTGAATTGAATATTTAGTTTTTATTCCATGAGATTTTTTAATTCTGTAATATCGCCATATTTTATTTCAGCTTTTATTTTTAATTTTTTTTATGGCAAATAGAAAAGAATGTGCAGGTTTAATTCAGATTGGATTCTCTAGTCAAGTCAAGTCAATTTTACTTATATAGTGGTTTAGCAAAAAATCTGTATCCTTGTTTTTATACTGTCACCTCACGGCAACGATGACAATCACATTATGTACAATTAAAGGCTAGTGAGTGAATAAGATGACTCTAGAAAATCCCTATGGTCAGTTCTCTCACGGTGTGATATGGAGACAGGAGCTCTATGATGTAAGACGGGGCGAGGCCATTTAACACTTTGTAGACAAACATCAGAATCTTATCATGTATCCTGTAGCTAACCGGCAGCCAGTGTAGGGAGACAAGAGTGGGGGTAATGTGCTCTGTCTTCTTTTTTGACCTCTTGTGTGTCCCTTAGATGTGAAGTCTTTTTAGAAAGTCAAACTGGCACCAGAAAATATACTTTCTTCTTTTACAGAATTTCATCCTGAATCAACAGTGTTTTTAAATTGTTGTGTTGTTGTATTATCCCCTCAAAAACATACAAACTTTTCACCAGGAAAAAAGGAATTCAAGTTCAGGATAACCTGTGTTACCCAGATCACATGCTCTTATGCAAACAGCACAGACTATGGGGTGTGCAAGAGCCTATGCAAGAGCCTTCTTTTCTGAATGGCAGTGGGTCAGATGAACAATTCTTTTAAAACTTTAGCATCACTGAGATCTTCCTTCTTAGTAACAAAACATAGCAAAGTTACAAAGTGCCAAACAAGGCGGATAAGATTTAAACATTTTGGCACTAGGATGAAATAAATCAGGCAAATAATGAATGAAACTGAATAAAATATGCCCAAGAAATAATGAAATTAGATAACATTCATTCACTGCTGCGTTCTCTCTGCTGCACCCTCACATTCTTGCTACACATGGGCACAAACACGCGTGCACACACTTCTTCTTATTGTGCTCACACACTCAAATACACACCTACACCCTCAAGACTGCAATGGAAATAAGCTCTTGGGCTTTATTGTGTTTTATCCTTTTGACATAATTCATTGCTCTGTGTTGGATGTCGTTGATTTAATATCACTGCTGAGCTTTCCTACATGTCTCAGCTAACAGTTTTTACTTAAAAGCCTGCCATTATAATTAGGCTCCTGTCTTCCTCTCTGCTCATCACTTGTTGAGTAGCTTTTTAAAAAAAAAACAAACACAGAGAGGTGTTTTTGTACTCGTTGGAGCGAGCAGGAGACAAACCTTAATGGAAGAGTCATTAAGGAGGGAATAGAAACATATAAACAGCACTCTGTCTCTCTTGTTGTCTCAGTACATTTTACATTAGAGGTATTTACACACCTCGCCTACATACATCAGTTCTGTTCCTCATTTCCCGTCCTCTCCTTGGTGTTTGTCCTCCTTTGTGTTTGCAGCTGGGAGTGGATGGTTTAATGGTGTCTAATACGACGGTGTCCAGACCAGAGACGCTTCAGGATCCACATAAGTCTGAAGTCGGTGGGCTGAGTGGCCAGCCGCTCAAAGACCTCTCTACTCGCACTGTGAGGGAGATGTACAACCTCACCAAAGGTATTTATTTACACAGCAACATCTTCTGTCCATTTCTGAGTATAAAGACAGTACATCTAAAATATACCTATAATATATGTATTTTTTTTTATAGGTAAAGTACTTATTATTGGGATAGGTGGTGTTGCCAGTGGGCAGGATGCCCTGGATAAGATCCGTGCCGGTGCATCACTTGTTCAGCTTTACACAGCTCTGGCCTACCAGGGTCCGCCTGTAGTGACGAAGATAAAGCGAGAACTGGAACATCTTCTGAAGTGAGTATGGTTGTAAATTAAAGGGTTTTCCTTTCATAAAGTTGGAGATTTTTTGTTTAAATGGAAGTTTGAGGATTTTTGCAGGGCTTCTTTTAAATAAAGGATAATTCTGGGTTAGTAGAAAATTAGGCGTCTTTTGGGAAATAATAAGAATAAGAATACCTCCACGTGTCTCCCTCCACCTTGAATTTAAAGGAATTGGGCCTGGTAAGTCCTTGCAAGTCCTTGAATTTGATGTTTAAGAAGGTGTGAGAACTCTTAGCTGCTGAAATCTGTGACTGCAGTGCTTTAGAGTCGACAGGACAACAAACAAGCAGTTAGACAATCAGACAAACCTCCAGGTCATCTAAACAGATTTGAGAAAATGAAAATGAATGGTAATATTATAACTAAAACTGCCAGTTGTTAACAACAACTACAGAATATAACCTGACGTCCTGATTCAACTTTGACCTTCTGTAATTGCTGTGGTTATACATGCACACCGTTTTACGATTATTACGGACACTTCTGGCAACTCAATTTTGGCTCTGCCCTTTTAATAATGTGTTTCAGATAGTCTGACCAAACTGTTGGCTTGTGTACAAACTGCATCTTGCCCTGTCTAGCATCCTTTTAGCGTTGTAACAGAAGCATTTGACAGCAAAGCTTGTGCAACTGCAATGAGACAGCTGTGCTCTTATTAATGATCCAATATGATCCATGTAAAGTGAAAACATTGCAACGTATCATCATCCAGGGTGTAAATACAGACAGTGCAGGCAGAAGGCCCATGAGATGGGGGTCCCATAGACAGAGTGGGCCCTCCAACAGTGTGTTGGGTGGAGAATGGACCCTTATGACTGATTGCCAACTTAGAAATATGCCTGTTTTCAAAGAGGAACTCTCATTAGATTAAAAACAACATCATTCATTATATATGCCCTTGTAAAAGGCAAAGCCATCTCGGTCAGGTTTTTTTAATAGTCAATACCATCTATAACAAAATTATATGCTTATTCCAAATAAACTGTAATAAACTATCAATTAAACTAATATTCTTTAGTATTTTTATAATAAACAGATATGCAGTGATGATTGCTGGGTAATATGTATGTTAATGTTATCCAGTGTCAAGTCTCTGATCATCTGATGAGAGGATATATGCACGATAGCGTATGCTATTGTGCCTGTCATGATAGCGTGCTCTGGGGCCCGTCGTAACTACCTTACACCACTCATCTTCAGGATACACCTTTATTTTGGAACTCTGTGTCACTGTCAAACAGCACCAGGCAGATAATGGCTAGCAGCCAAGAGAAGGATGATGAGGATAATGTTATTTGCAGAAAAGCAACAGTGTGGAAATATTTTTTTGATTCTGAAAGAAAACAGACAGACAAACAGAGCACATGTCGTATGTAAACGATGCTGTTATGACATAAAATAAGGAAAGATGACATGTATGGCCAAGTGTCTCAGTCTCAACTTTATTGCAGCAACATTAGCTGCTCTGTTTAAACAATGTCAAGCTGAAAAAAAACTGTATGCAGGCTGAAATTAAGCTGTGCTGTCAGGAAATGCAGTGATGTTAACTGACAGTGAGTAATAATGAATGTAATTTGTAAGCTATGAGGAGAGGAAAACTCCGCAAGCAGCTAGGCTAATTTATGCAATGTTAAAATGCTCAAGCTTATAACATGTAACTAGCAAAAACAATTGTTCTGTCCATGAAGCTTGACAGTTATTGTGGAGCCAAATTGTATACTTTTGTTCAATGATCTTGCTGTCAATTCATGTTTTATGGCTGTTGGGAGAGGTTTGAGACAGATAGCCTTCAAGTCTTCGGAAAAAGATGATGGAAAGGTCTTTCTGAGGTTAACTTATCCCATGTGCTGTTTTATATGTGTTAGTGGAGTCGATTCAAAGAAAACTTTACTTCGCTCTGTATAATTATTTACAATTATTTATATTTTATTTTTATCTTTTATGGCTAAAAAGCAAAAAAGGAGGAGTGATGGCTTCTTCTGTAACTGATTGTGCTAAATCATATTGATGGCAGGCCTCTTGGCAAATATCAATGTCCAAAGAATCAAAATAATATTGTATCATGATGAAAATAGTGATTTACACCCCATAGTCTTATGGCATTAGTTTACACAATTTTCCTCTTACATATCAGTTGCTATGTCTTTCAAAAGTGAAAATATGTTATTTGATTCCCAACACAAATATATTGCAAGTCCTTACAAACTTATTTATTTATTGTTACAGAGAACAAGGTTTCAGCAGTGTATCAGAGGCGGTTGGAGCAGATCACAGGGGAGCGGACCAGTCGACTCATAAGCAGAGCATGCTGAAAGAGATGGTAAATGTTAACACAGACACGCAGCACCCACCTGTAGCTGCCATCTCCTCCTGTCAGCCAACATGATCCTCACCTTTTCCTGAACTGCAATGAATGTCGAGTATTTGCGTCCTTCTTGGTTTCCAGGATGAGATATGGTCCGAACTGATAGCTGCTGAAATTATGTCTTTAGATTTTTGTGAAGAGCACATCTCCACTCCTCACTTTTACTTGAAAATCATGGTAAAGTCAATAATGATAAATGTTTGATGTTGTATTAAGAAGCTGAGGTATGTTTGTAACTATTTCAGACAGTCATCCTTTGTTACAGTGTAACAGCGCTATGTGTTTCTCAAGTGCTTACTGACACCAAAGTGCTTGAACTCTTCAAACAAACCTTGCTCATACATTTTTTACAGAGCTATACAAACTGTTTTGTGTCTGTCTTGTGTATAAAGAAATTAATCTGACATGATGTTATATGGATGAAATAGCAAAACTTGTTTGTGATCCTCAGTTTTAGGAAATGTCTGATACACAAATTGAAGCATGTGTTCAAATGTTCACATTGTGTTATTCATTGCCTTTCAAAAAATACATTATTATTGATAAACAAATGTCAAAATGCTAAAACTTAATGAGGACATGTTCAATACAGTACAGCACACAAATGCAGTCAAACACAACAACAACAACAGCTCAAATGTTATTTGGGTTAAAGAATCAAGATATTTATTTTTGCTGTGGTGTTATGAGAAATGATGTGTAGCGGCAAAGTTTAGGGTGTTTATGAGCTCCCCGTTTAAAAAGGTACTGTACGCCAGACTTGATCAAAGCTCCGACAGAGAAGAGTTTGCAAGTTTATACCATGGTAATGGCATATATCATGACTGGGTAATTGTTCTGTAATTAATTAAGACATGGTTTAAAGTAACCATACTGTTCTTTGTCTGCAGCTGAGTATCAGTACTTGGTACCTTTTAAGGTATCAAGCGAAATTACCAGTACCAAGTAGTGTCAAAATGTCTCCGGTCAAATAACACCTGCATTTGATCCTTTTTGTGTGGGGGTCTGATTCTGGCCCATCCTAACTCACTGCCTTAACAGCAAACTTTCTGTTGCTGCCATCTCCGGAGCAACTGTTCTCCTGATGAACAATCAATTCATCTTCCCAGCTAACATCCAACACCGAGCCTTTAAATGGCTCCAACGTATTCACACAGACACTGAAGTGGCCCAACTCTCTTGTTAAAACCAGTAATAACCATTAGGTAATGTTAGCCACGTGATGCTAACAGCTAGCTCTGTCACTGGGTGGACACTCAAAACTGTTCTGGCGTAGAGCTCACACTCTTGCACCAGCAGCTACAACTCATACAGTCTTAGGTCTGAAGTTGAGCACAGAGTACTTAGCAGAGTTAGCAGCTCAGTGTGCAGAGATGCCACCAAAATGTTCAGAAGTATGGCTGTACTGCATTTCGCTTCATTCACATCACGGATATCGAATAAAGTACTCTATTGGTATCTGTATCACTTTAAAGGTACTGGTATTAGTACTGGTATCATAGTTTTTCACACAATACCCAGTCCTAACATCATCATGATCAATTATTTTCTTCTTTCATTTGGTTTAGTTCTGAATTTCCTTTGACAACCTGTTTGTTCTTCCTACGTTATCTTGTGTAGATGATCCTGTGAGATTTTTAATGAAATATTAAAAGATCTGTGTATTGTATATCATGAACAAAGACTTCTTAAATAAATACATCACCAAGAACCAGCACTAAATCGATATCAGCTCCTGACTGGTCAGTAATGAAATATTGATGAGCTCCAGGACAATTGTAGCTGCTATCTGTATTTATGTAACATTAATTAATTCTAAATTCCTAACACTGCCCTAATGATGATGAAGTTGCTGGTGTCATAATAACACCAGCAACATTTAATGTTGCATAACTGCGTGTGTACATTTTGTTCTCACCCGTCATGGTTGACAGTGAAAAACATTTGAAAGTGCGGACTCACATTACTAAATGTAATGAAAATGCAGCTTGCGTGTAAAGAGGTGTAACACCAGCAACCTCATGAAACACTTACAAATACAACATCCGATAAATCTGAAGCAGTGCAGTTGTTTGACTGTTTTAGCAAAGTGTTTACTGCGCCTACGACCTCAGTGCTGCCACCTGGCTCTGATGCTGATGGGTTTCGCCACACTTAAAATGTGATTGTCTCGGCATCATTGAGTCAAAGTAATACTCGTTATCATTGTAAAAATAAGTCTGTAGTTAATAACTCAGGACACAGTTTCTGTCAGTTTTAAGCACTCCCTCATTATATGTATACAGAAAAATCAGGGAAAAAAATACATATTATTTCTGCAAAAAATAAATAAAATGAAAATAACTTTCTTGTCATATCATGTCATGTCTTAACTTTTTGTACCAGATTTTGGAGAGCAGTATCAGGAAGATTATCAATATTGATATCCGTATCAATACAATTCTATACTACTGCACTGGCCTTAGAGATAGGGTGAGGAGCTCGGAGTAGAGCCGCTGCCCCTTTGCGTCGAAAGGGTCAGTTGAGGTGGTTCAGGCGGGAGGTGTTCTGGGCATACTCTACTGTAAGGAGGCCACGGGGCAGACCCAGAACACAGTGAAGGGATTACACATCTTGTCCGGCCTGGGAACGCCTTGGGGTCGCCCAAAATGTTGCTGGAGAGAGGGATGTCTGGAATGCTTTTGTCGGCCTGCTGCCCCCGCGACCTGGCTTCGAATAAGCGGTTGAAAATAGATGGATGGGATGGACATCATTGCATTTGTTCATGTTAAGTCAGGCTGTTTTAAACATCCTATTTGTCCTGCACCAAAAGACCTTGACCCAGATGGTGTAAATGTATACCTTTTGGAGAGATTTACATTCTGCCTGTGTTGACTGCAGTGTAACACAGAGTAACACACTTGTTTTGATTCTGAGTTTGCTCATACAGTGTGGCGTCCTTAGATCCAGCTCCCCAGTTTTGTTCTTGTGTGTAGGTGGAGAGCAGCACGTGTGGAGGCGAATGAATCACACAGACTGGAAAATATGCTTCAAGGTACAACTGTAATAAAACAACAAAACAAGGTTACACTGGACGAGCTGCAGCAGTTTTAACAATTACAGAGAAAATGTCCTTCCTGAACAGAGTGTGCTCAAGTGATTCTTTCTAATCAGATGTAGCAGCGGCGAACACTTTGGGCTGCTGATGATTTTAGAGATTTTCAGCCTTGAAAGAACTGAGATGACTTTGTTCTGTTCCTGGCAGCAGTAGAGGAAGCCCTTCAAGTCCTCTTCCCCTCAGCTGAACTCTCACTCCTCCTCTGTTGTTACTCGCTGTGGGCAGTGTGGTGTCATGGCCTCCCAGTGGTGGTAGAGGCTTCTTCTTTTATTGTTATTCTTGGGTTTTTCTTCACCCATTGACACGTTGAGATAGCCTATCATAACACCACCTGCTAACCCCAGAATAAACAGCGGTCATTAGACATAGTCAGTGAAGGCGGCAGTACTGTGAGGATCAGCTGTGAGCTGCTGGGCGCCTCCATCCTCCTCCTCCCTCTCCCTGAGGCCAAGTCCAGACTGGCTTGAATCCCGTTTATGGTGTCACACAGGAAGGAGAGGCACGATCTGGCTTCCAGACAAGCACAACTTTTAAAGTGATGGCCACTTAGATACACAGTTTTCTTGTATAACATCGATCAGAGCTCACAGGCAGAGCTTATCTGTCCCTCAGATAATGTTTGTGCCCTTATCTGATCCAGTCTGAAAGCTAATAGGAAAATAAAGGTCAGCACTGGTCGTATAGCATCTTAAAAGAGCATTACCCAAATATTTATGTATTTTGATCTTGTATTTCGTTTGTATTCATTAAGTCAGAGTTCAAGCATTGCTTTTTCACCACATCCAGTAGTACGACAAACCAACACACTAATGAATCTATGGAGAGCAGATGTCTTGGTAGTGTTTCTTTTTTTCAATAACTGTTCAGTTAATGAAATTTCAGAAAATTGCAAGTTCCTAGAGACGAAGGTGTATCTTTAAATAGCTGTACAGTTGATCAGAAGACAATGCTGAGACATACTGACGAAAAGAAAATCAACAATACGAGATAGCCAGTATGTTATCATATAGTTACATCAGGGACCTTTAATGAAGGAGATGTAATTCGCCCACTTAGCATAGTATCTCTCCACCTGATCAATAAGCCTAAAGGAGAGGCCCTCGTGTGCAGCCACAATACCAAGTTGGGAGAACCACACCCTGGCTGGTGGTAAGCTGATTGCCTTCCATTCTGTTACATTTTCTCCCCAGCATGAGGGATGTCTGGACCCAGTCTGCCTGGGGTGCAGACAGGGGTCTTTGTGGGACAGGATCACCCAGAGCAAGCAAGCTTGGGCAGAATGGTATGTCTAATTTAAGGATCATATTGATATCCTCATGTACAGCAGACCAGAATTTTTGTGCAGCGGGACAGGACAGCAACATGTGGAGGAGAGTGCCAACGCTCACCCCACACCTCCAGCAATTCTGGCTGTCTTTTAGTTTCACCCTCAGTAACCTCGAGGGGTAAGACAGTGGGAAGTTGCATGGCTCCAAGGATGGCAGTATCGTTTGCTTCAGCATTTTGGTGCAAACTGAATTTCTCAACCAATGGATGGATTGCCTTGAAATTTATGGTTACCAGAAAATGACATATTCTGACTTTGGTATTCCCATGAGTTTCCATCTAGCACCACCAACCACTCAAAAGTGAAATGTATGCATTGTTTTTGTTTTGACCAAATACCTGCAACACTAACGATATTCCCATCAGCCTCAGCTGTGCTACGTATTTGCTGCTAATTAGCATGTTGGCACGTTAGCATTCCAAGAAGCTAAACTAAGATAGTGAACATGTGTACAGTCTGACAGTGCAGCTGGCATGGCTGTAGACTCTGTTGCATAATTAATGATGTCGATCATTTCCTGTTGATTGATTTATCTATTAATTGACTAAATGTGTCTGCATCGCCTCTTTTATACTTCCTGTCAGTATTTTAACATTGTGTGTGTAGTCATAGTATTCATACGGGATAATTTAATGCTCTCTTAACCATCTGTTTCTTGCTGTCTCTTATTCCTCTTCCTTCCTTCCTTCCTTCCTACCTTCCTTCCTTCCTTCCTTCCTTCCTTTCTTTGTTTGTTAAAGATGATTTTTGGGGGCATTTTGCCTTTAATAGACCATGACAGTGTACACAGAGACAGCAAACATGAGCAAGGAGTACACTGTGCAAGAATCAAACTTGAGATGCTGTGGTTGTCCGGCATACGTCAGTGGGACTGCGTCTTGCTTTTTCTCTGACTCAATCCACCGTTCTGGTTCGGTAAACCAATTTATGTGTTTTGACATTTTGACTCTGATGTTTGTTTACTTTATATAGATGACATTTAAAAATATGTGATTTTTTTTGTGTGTGTGTGTGATATTTGTTTTTTTTCCTTGAGCATGAGATAGCAAAGCTAATGAAGCATCGTATAAATCAAAGTAACTTTATTGGAGAAACTTTATTAGACTTGTGGAGGAAGAGGAGGCTCAAGGACTAAAAGATCCAGTGTCTTTCTGCTCATTAGTCACAGAGGGTTAAATTTGTCAACTTCAAGGGCATGTTTGAAAACTTACCCTCACAGCTAAAAAAAAATAACAGTTTATAATGACCCTTTTTAAACAGATTTGATAATCATGTACAAAAACATGACAAGCCAAGTGAGTGCCCTTAATTTGACCTTAGTCGACCTTAATATGTTTGAGTATTTCAATTTGTTCAGCATTTTGTCCAAAAATTCAAATTAAATTTTTAAATTAAAACATTTTTGTGCCTGCTACAGAAATGTCGCATAATAAATGACAAAAACAAAAGACAAAAAAATCCATTTCAAACAAAATAAATAAACGCAGACAAACAAGACAGTGACATATGGACGTAAACAACAGTAATTAAGATAAATACATAAAGAAAACAAATTCTGGGAAGCACTGCACAGGTAGATGGCCATGTGGTTAAAGGTCTGAGAATAATGATTACTATGACGACGATTTGTTATGGCGGCAGTAGATTTCCCGTTTTTAAGTGTGATGTTATGGGCTGCTTTGAAAAGTAAAGTGTTTATCTCTTGTTTAGATATAGTTTATTAGTTTATTTTTTGCACAACTACAACAAAAATAACACGCAATAATAGTGTCCAATAAGGAGCAGAAAATGTGAATATGTAATGTATAAATCAATGTTTGTGTAATTAGGCGTGTGTGTATGTATGATACAATAGCTCAAACTTTAAAAGCAATTTTTTTTTTTTTTCAAATATATTGAAATGAAAATCTGACAGCCTGAGTTGAGTTACGTAAACCCTCACCATGTCGGGAGATGCAAACCTAGGGATATATGTCTGCAGCACTTTGAATGTTGGGACACCAGCAGACCCAACCATATGCACACACACCTTAAAATTACAGAGAAAAATGTAAGTATGGACATAAACCTTTATATAATGAGCTACATATTTAATTACAGGTTGACTGTAAAATTATGCCTAAATATAAAAATAATAAGATTTACCTTAAAATTACAGAGAAAAACGTTAGAATGTTAGTATGGACACAAACTATTATATAACGAACTACATATTTAATTACAGATAATTACTGTAATTTTACATAAAATTGTATGTATTTTTTCTTTAAAAAAAATGAAAAATAAATGTATTTTGTC